CTAGACTTGGTGTGTCTGCTCTTTGACTAGACTACAAAGTATGGTCAAATAACTGAGCTATAATGCTTTAAATAAACTATTACGTACAAGCAGCTTTACAATAGGGGTGGCAATTATACAGTGAAAAGGAGATCTGGGAAGACACTGACAGAGCTACTCACTTTTTAAGTGCAGTGATCATCACATCTCTGGGTGGAGGCTTACAGAAACCCTATGAAAAGATTAAGACTTGATTCTCACCCCATATTTCAGATGAAGAGAACAAAGCTCTAAGAGTAGGCAATCTGCCCTAAGAATAAAACAAAAAAGTCAGAGCGAGAGCAAAGCTAGCTTGTCCACTTTGTACTTCTACTACACTAAATTCTGAATTAACACTCAAGTCAGAGTGAAAAGCAGAAAGGAGTCCAAAACTAAACTTAAGTGTTCCCCTAACTAATTTGGTAAGAAAAACTTCCTGGGACACACATTAAACAGATTCTTGGCAGGGTTTGGTGCACATACCTAAAACGCTAGCAATTTGAAAGTTAAGGCAAACACAAGTTCAAAGCCAGCCTGGGCTATGAAACGAGACTTTGTCTCAAGAAACCAAACTGAGCTGGGGAGATGGCCGAGTGCTTGCTGCCCACTACTAGGACCCGAGTTCAGACTCTCCTGCACCACATCAAAGAGGGGAAGATGGGCAGATTCCTGGGGTCTTTAGTTAGAGACCCTCTCTCAGAAAGTAAGTGGAGAACAATAATTAAGAAGAAAACACCCACTGCCAACCTTTGGCTTCCACATACATGCATGCCTGTGTCACTCTAGGACTAACAACAACCACTTCCAGGAAAGGGGTGTTTTTAACTAGTGTCTTCAAGAGATGAGCCCAGTGATTACATTGTTCTAATTCCTGCATGTCCAATTTGGAGAGAGATGGCTGTTTAAGTTGACGTCAAGTAAAACCAGTATGATAAAATACTGAATGTTTCCTCCCATTAGCTACATTTTAAGAGCTCAATAGCCACTGTGGCTGGTGGCTTTCATAATGGCTAGCACAGGTAACAGGAATTTCCATCACCACAAAAAGTTCTACTAGGTATCAACAAATGATTCTATACCAATCCTTCAACTATGAGGAGAAAAATCAAGACGTCTGATGCCATCCCACAAGGCCATGGTTCCTCGACAGTGGCAAAAGTGCAACTCAAGCCTCTCCTGATAGCGTTCCCCTGATTATCACTGCACCCTTTTCTTACATTCAGGGTTTATTCAAGCGGATTTATAGCCTTTAACTTTTATAGCCTTTTGCTTTTTAGCAAAGACAGAAGAGAAACTGTAAATTAATGGGAGGATCCTTAATAAAAAGATTAAGAAATAGTAAGCTCTTGGCTGGGGATGCAATGTCAGTTGATAACAGTGCTCAGCACACAGGAAGTTCCGGGTTCACTCATCATCACTGCATAAGCTGGATATGGTGGTACATGTTTATGAACCACAGCGAGTTGCAGGCCTGGAAGCAATACTTGAGACCCTATCTCAAAACAAAAACTCCACAATAATCTAAAAGAAAAACATGCATCTTTAGTAAAAATAAAAGTTAGCTGGGACCATTAAGGATACCAGATTAAGGAATTATTAGAAGGTAAATCTAAGATTATAAATACTTAAAATCTTTTCTGTCTTTATTTTTTCCTGTCATGTATTTGAAACCCCGAGACTAAAGACAACTTATTGTCTTTGAATTTTAATGTGGAAGGTTAAATCTTCGGTCGTTTTTATGAAATGGGGGGGGGGGGTTTACTATATAGCCCAAGTAAAGCTGTATACTCTGTCCATTGGGTGGTGGGATTAAGAGGCAAACATCACTATGTCTAGCTTAGATAGACATGAAAACAATTTTAAAGATGAAAAGGTGAGAAATAAGGAGCAATCCCAAACACCAACTTCTCTAATTTTAAAATGTGGTTATTCAGATTACCCCTGGCTTTCAGTAATTTAGTACTTTAATGGATATGACATTAATACACTGTTTTTACTCATAAACTATAATTACGCTTTGTTTCAACACTGTTTTAACACAATTTAAAATAATTTGCTTTGTTTTTATTTACAAAAGTAACTAAGGGACAAGGAGGAGCATCTGGGTATCTGGGAAGCCTGAGATAGTAAGATCCATGTATAGTCAGCCATAACAATACAGTAATGCCCTCTTTAAAAATAAAACCAGTTGTTCCTGTCTGGTATGTTCAGAATGCAAATGCTTCCAAAGTCAGTCAAATTATGTCATGACAGTTCATGTTGAAAGTTAGTAGGAAAAAAACTTGGAACTCCATACTGACTCAAATTTTGAGGACGTGAGTAAAGAGCTCTGTAAATTTTCACAGCTAGGATTCAAATCTACATTAAATTCTAGTGACTAGCCCTGAGGGGGAAAAATACTGTATGCTGAAGTTTACATAAAGTTACAAAATGGTTAAAAACCTTGGCTCACCAGAAGACGTTATACTTATTTAAGACAGCTTTTGCCCTAATCTGCAAAGCATTTGCAATCCTTGAACGTGGGGTTCTATATAAATAGAAGCTACTTATAATTCAGAGAAGGTGGTGCAAAACCCAGCTACTTTCTTTCTAAATGCTCTTTGGTGTTGAGGTAAACAGTCTGAAACACACAAGAGCAAAGCAAGTCTCTATCATAGGTTGGGGAACAGGAAAGTTTGCTTTAACAGTATCAGGAGCTACTGGGAGTTAAGCACATCAGTGGGTGCCAATATGTATTTGCAAGTGAACTACTAAGTGACAGATTCTGGTGCATATTAATGTAGAGAGGATTAAAAATAGTGACAACTCAAAAGTAAACATTAAAGTGTTATCAACATTTTAAATCTCATAAGATATAATTGTTAGGAGAAAAAAAAAAGATGGCTCATAGGTAAGGGTGCTTGCTGACAACCTTGAGGACGTGGGTTTGATTCCTGGGTCCCCCACATGGCAGAAGGTGAGATAATGAGCTCAACCTGTCTGTCCTCTGACCTACACACACACACACACACAATGTAGCATGCTATACTTCATAAATAATGTTAAAACAACCAAACAAACAAACCAGCATTTGTGATGCAGGGCCTTCCCCTTTTTGGAGGGAACATGGGTTTGCAAAGACCACAGTCAAACTGACGGGAAGGATTATCATTTGACTTCCAGGTATTGCCTTTATCAGCTTCAATGCTAGTCCTTCCCCAGGCCCAATTTTAAACATTCTTAGGAAAAGTGATTCAGGCAACAGGCAAATGCACACTAACGGTACTAAGGAAGTGGCGTTAAAATTCCTAATCTCAAAGAGGAACAGCAGTGAGACAGCCATGAAATCTCCACAGAGCAATTACTTGTCTAGCTTCCCAGAGGAGAGTATCAACCACCTCCAGTCATGTAACTAGCACACTTGCAAATGACCCAGCCAAGTTTTCAGTTGGCCTTCACTATCTCTTAACTCTCCCCACCCCCCTTCCTCCACTTCCCTGCTCTTCTTTCCTGGCACAAAAAATATAGGCCAATGAGCAGTGGGTGGATGAGGGGGTGTGAGAACGATTTTGAGAAGTGAAAAAGGGAGCAACTTAGCCAGGACATGAACGAGACTGAAGGGTCTGATAGGGCAGACGAACAACTATCAGGAAGACCGAAAATAACGGAAGGAGCTTCCCTCGGCTGTAGTGCGTGGGATACGTATGTAGGTTTAAGCAGAGGTCAGACTACCTACCACTTGTCAGAAGCTGGGCAGGGGCGGCTGCTTTGGGTGACTTCTAGTGTCTCTTCCGACTCTGAAATGTTAGGATTTCTAGTTCACAAAGGAGAACGTAAGGATGATGGAAGCCCACCGACTTGGAACTCTTCTCAAGCAGCAGCCTTGGCGGCTGACTCCCCGACACCACTCCTACCTCTTCCTCCCACACGTGCCCACCCCGCCCCCTTTCAATAGCAGCACCTCCACGTGCAAAAGGCCTCACGGCACTGGCCCCACACTAGTGGGCTCCTTCCCCTGCAAAGCCCTGAAACTCTGTATGCGCCTGCCCCCACACCCTAGAGAAGTGAGGACACCACTCTCCCACCCTTGGCAGCTAAAAAAGGAAAAGTCTCCGATCTAGTCCTTCTCTTCAGCCAGAACGGGGTTGGAGAGGGGCAGAGAAAAACTTTCTTCTCGTTTTTTTTTTTTTTCCCCTCCCAGAAAAGTAGAGCGAACCCCCAAGTCAGAGGTTGAGGGGGGAGGGGAACCCCTTGAACGTTTAACGGCCAGCAGGGGGAGGGGAGCTCTGGAGATGGAGGGGGCGTGGGATGAAGAAACAGGCCCGCGAGCGGGGTCCCGGAGCTGCGGGGTTCCTGGGGCCGGGCAGCTGCAGGCGTCCCCCCCACCTGGCACACAAAGCGGCTGCTGCGCTCGGCTCTCACCAGATCCTTTGTGTTTTCCATCAGGGCCTCATGGGTAGGGGCCGTCCGTGCTCCCCGAGGCCGCGGCGCCCCCTCCCCCCCGAGCAGGGGGCGGGCGCCTCTCCCCGGGACCTGCAGCGACTACAGGGGGGTACCCCCGGCTGGGCCCGGGCCAGTGGCGGCGGTGGCAGCCCCCGGATTTCCCCCCTTTAACTCGGGTGGCCCCAGGATATCAACAACATTAGCATAGCCCTCCCTCCCCAGCGCGCCTGCGCCGTGACCCGCGCCCCGATTGGCCCACTTCCCCACGTACCCTCCTCTCTCCCCTCCAGCGTGGGACCCTCCGCAGGCTCCGTACTCCAAGGACCGTACCAAAACCAGGAGACGATGAGGTAATGGGGGCTCGCGGCAAGGCGTGGGGCCCAGAGTCAGCAGGAGGAGAAGTTTCTTTCCGCCACTTTCATTTGTACTCTGGCTTCCTTGAGTCCCTTCCAATATGTTGCCTCTGAGAAGTTGGGCTGGGGAAATTTTCCACTCCAGTCACGCCGCTTCCCCCTACACCCGGAAGATTGGCCTTCCCAGAGGAACTCCCACACGGGGAGGGGCTGCCGAGCTGAGTGGGAGTGACGTAGCGCGTGAGTGCCGGTCACGTGGCCCGAGGCGGCGCAGGCTCCTTCCGGCTCCCCAGGGCTGGGCTGCGGCGCGGAGCTAGACGCCCCGGCACATGCGCAGTGGCGCTCCACGTGAACGCCTGCGTTTCTCCTCGGACCTGAGGATGCCGCCGGAACGCCGGAGCCGGACGAAACCAGAGCGGAGAGCCGGCGCGATGCCGGGGAGGGAAGCCAGACCCGGGAGCGGCGGCACGCCCCGAAAGGCCGCCCGTTCATCCCAACGGACACCGCAGGCCGGGCAGAGGGCGGCCCCTAGCGCGGTCACGGCGGTGGCGGACGAGGAGGAGGAGAGCCGGCTTCGGCAGCGGAACCGCCTGACGCTCGAGGACGACAAGCCGGCCGCCGAGCGGTGCCTGGAGCAGCTGGTCTTCGGCGACGTCGAGGACGACGAGGACGCGCTGCTGCGGCGGCTGCGGAGCTCGCGGGTGAGGGAGGCCTGCTCGCGCCGAGCGGGCACACGCTCCCGCCGCGCGCCGGGCGGGAGCGGGAGGCGAGGCCCCGGGGGCGGAGCCTGGGGGACCTGCGGCGGCGAGCGCTCAGGGGGGAGGGACCGGCGACCGTGGGCGCCGAGGGGCACCGCTGCGCTCTCCGCCTCCGGCGCCGGGCAGCGAGCTGGCGAGGGCGGAGACGCTGCCTTTTCTCCGCCCTACAGCGGCCGCAGCACTTCGCATCCAGCAGGCGCTCAACTGCCGGCTTGATTGGCAAGAAGGTTGCCTGCAAACCGGGAGTCGGGCATCTTCGGGTTCGGATACCCTCTGCTGGAACCACAGGGGTGGCCGTTTGATCACTTGTCGCGATTCCATTTCGTGGGTGGAACCAATACGTGGGCAGAAGGCGTAAAGCTGCATTTCAATAATTTCTCCGTGTGATACACATGCCCAACTTTTGAGAATGATCAGTGTATTCGTCTCTAACGTTTTTTTGAAGGCTTGCTTTTCGTAACAATTGCAAATCCTTCGTGATTGATAAGTTTTGCGCTGTCCTTACTTTTGTTTTATACCTGGCCCCTCATCTAATGTAGAGAGTCTCAGGTATTGGACTAGGGTCTCTTTGAGGGGACACACAGCAATGGAGAAAGCCAACAAAACCCAGCTATCTTGGAGCTTGTGTTAGTAGTGGTAGCAGAACAAGGGAGACGACTAGTAAAGTTAAATTATGTCGGCGGAGAGGAAAATTAAAACATTTGGGAAAGGGAATTAAATTTATGTGGTGGCCTCTTTAGATAGGGTGACAAAACGCCTCAGTAAGAATGTCAGCGTTTGCTGAATTAAGCTGACCTTTGCGTGGTGCTTGAATGGAAGGATGTAGCAGTCTCCTTTGGGAGGTGGAGAACAGTTACTTTCCCAACTGTGTGGCCGTTCTGTATCAGAAAGTAATCCTGTGATGGGCCTTGATCTTACCTCAGTAGTGCTGGTGGATCCTGTGCTTGACTTCTTGGACACTGGTGTGGGTTGGGGGAAAGCTCAGCTCGTTTCAAGGGGATTTTTGTGTGTGTGTGTGTGTGTGTGTGTGTGTGTGTGTGTGTGTGTGTGTGTGTGTGTGTGAGAGAGAGAGAGAGAGAGAGAGAGAGAGAGAGAGAGAGAGAGAGAGAGAGAGAGAGAGAGAAAGAGAAAGAGAAAGAGAGCGCGCGCTAGGTTTAGGTTTGGTTGTGGTATAAAGTTTTAAGGAGGTTGAGACCAAGCACACAGAACAGAGATCCTTGTTATGATTATGTTGTGTGGGATTTTAGATGGCTCTGGGTTCTGTCATAGTTGAAGTTTATCTGTTTGTTCTTTACCTGTCCACTTACCTTTTTCCCTGGTCTACTGTGGTCTTTTCCTTTCAGTGTGTTTGGCCCTCCTTGGCTGCTCATCCTGCCTCTCCTGCCCCCTGATGGTTCTGATCTCCTTTCCTGCCTTCTCCTTCAGCATGTTCTACTATGGTATTCCATCACATTATTTCATCAGCAGACCAGGAAAGCAAAACATTCTACAAGCCATCCCAGTCTCAGGTGGGGGTGTCTGCCACCTCCCCACAGGAGAGTCGCAGTGGCTTGAAGATGCTGTGTCTCCATAGGGTCAACTACGTGAAAACTCAGAAGACTCTGAAGTGGAAGATGAAGCAGAAGACAATCTTCCTCCTCAGAAGAAGCCAGTTTGGGTGGATGAAGATGATGAAGATGAGGAAATGTAAGTCACCCATTCCTCTCAGAATCCCTCTGGACAATTTAAAGTTAACCTGTAGATTTTTACAAGTCACTGTCTTGGAAAGTATATGAAGAATCGAAGATCATTTGGAAGTGTAGGAAAAGGGTGGTTCATAGTTCTGCATCTGTGAGAAAGGCGTTTCCTTGTCTCGGTGTGCAGGATAGACTGCTTAAGTAATAGTGGAGTTGGATCTTAGCTTGCCTTCCTAACTGGTAGTTTGGAATCTACCTCTTCATTTGTAAAATGAGTGTCAGCATAGTGACTGTGGCAGAAGGCCGTTTGGATTAAATGATGCATGTACAATTTTTAGCATGGTGCCTGAAACTCAGTGAGGGCTTCACATAAATAAAGCTAGAGTACCTACCATATTATATGAGTGTATACTGCATACTCACTTTAATAGTTTGACTTTTTTCTATCTAAAGTTTGATGGTAGGAAAATAACCCTACTTAAATTATGTTGAGGGAAATTGATACTAGTTATACGTATTATGCATGTTCTCTAGTATCTTTGTTTATTAGAGATCTTAGTGTCTCAGATTTCTTACATACTAAGAATTTCAAACTTTTATGTATTGAACCCAGGGTCTGTGCATGCTTTCTTTCACCTTTCTTATGCACAGAGCTTTTCAAGTTTTACATAGTCAGATCTTTGAATCTTTGATTCATTGTTTTTATTTTTGTTTTTTAACAGTAAAATGCACTTTATTAGAAAGACTGTTTGCTTATAAAATACAGGCAGTATTTGATGGTTTGCTTTTTGTATATTTGACTTGCCAGGGATATTTTAGAGAGTGACCTGAAATGTGTCTAGATAGTTTAGGATGATAGTTTAGGATAGTTTAGGATTAACATTCATAAATGTTAGCTCTCCAGAGTGTACAAGAGACTCAGGAGGAGGAATGGAGAACGTGTATAAAGCACTCCACATCTTACATACTTTAACTTCACTGTTTTAGTAAATGTTTCTTCAGAATATTAAAGGCAGCAGCAGCATTTCATGATGGCTCTTTGCGGATCATTTAAAATATGCTTGTTCTGTACTTCATAGAGTTGACATGATGAACAATCGGTTTCGGAAAGATATAATGAAAAATGCCAGCGAAAGTAAACTTTCTAAAGAGAAGCTTCAAAAGAGACTTAAAGAGGAGTAAGTATCCTTTTTCCTATGATGGTGTATAAACAGTCACTTGTTTCTCTTTGGAACAGCTTTTCGGATAATCACACATATACCATGAAAAAGTAGGCATTACTTGCTGGGTGATTTCGTGCAAGTGTTTATGGCAGAGAATACAACAAACAAAGGTAATTTGAAGTGGGGGAAGAAAAAACCAACAGCTTGAAATGCTGCCACTTAAATATAGTCAGTAATAATGGTACCGTGCTCATTCATTTGTATGTAAGTCAGCTCTGTCAAAACCCTTTTCCTCTGAGACAAGGCTCTCATTGTAAGATTCTGGGTTCTCCTGCCTCAGTCTACTAAGTACTGCAGTTACTGGTAAACACTACAATGCTTGCCTTTCACCAGAATATGAAAAATTACAAAAATGTAAGTACCCATTTTACAATTGGATTCAATTAAAAAAAAAACCCTTTTACCCTATTAGCTTTATTTATTTGAGTATTTGAATTTTCAGGATCTGTGTGAGAGTAAGCTGTGAATAATGTGTCATTTACTGCCTGAATTCCTCAGTGTGCACCTGTCACCACAAGATGAAGGAGATTTTCTTGCATATTTATAGTGTCATATCTAAAATTAGTAGCTGACCAGTCAATATTAAGTTCTCTGGACTAATAATCTAAACCAGCATACTTTATTACTTTTTTTGATTTCACTACTTTTTTGGTTAAAAAAAAATACACTATTGTATGTGAGAGGTCAGCAGACAACTTTCTGGAGTCAGTTCTCTCCTTCCTCCTTATGGGTTCCAGGGATTAATCTTAGGCTTGGTGTCGAGTACTATTACTTCTGATAGCCAGCCCAAAGGGCCCCCCTCACCCCCAGTCTCTTATGGCTCAGGCTGGTCTCAAACTCACTATATAGCTGTTGATGATCTTGAACTTTGATCTTTCTGTCTCCGTTTTCCAAGTGATGGGATTACAGGTGTTTTGGCACTACACCTGTTCTTGTGTGGTGTTAGGGATTGAGCTCAAGGCCATGTGCACATTAGGACTTTAATAATAAAAATCTAAATATAGCATTTATTTGTTTGTTCATTTATTTATTTATGTTTTAGCTTTTTGAGACAGGGTCTCTTTCTGTAGTCCTGGCTATCCTGGAGCTTGCTATGTAGACTCGGCTGGCCTCAAACTCCTGTCTCAGCCTCTAAGTGCTGGGATTAGTGTGTGCCACCATCCCTGGCCTAGTTAGTGTTTTATAAAAATAACTATGGTGATTGAAACTTAAGGGCTTGCTAGGTAAGTGCTGTACTGCTATATTCCTGCCCCCCTTCTTTATTTTGATAGGGACTCTTCCTAAGTTGACCAAGATGGCACCTTGAATTCCCTCTGTCATGCTGGCAGGCTTCAAACGTAATATCCTCTTCCCTAGCTCCCGCAAGCAGTTGGCATTACAGGCCTATATCACTGGGCCTGAGTGAGACTGAGGAGGTGTTTTTTTTGTTGTTGTTGTTGGTTTTTTTTTGTTTGTTTGTTTGTTTTGTTTTTTGAGACAGGGTTTCGTTGTGTGGTTTTGGTGCCTGTCCTGGATCTCACTCTGTAGACCAGGCTGGCTTCGAACTCACAGAGATCCATCTGACTCTGCCTCTCGAGTGCTGGGATTAAAGGTATGCACCACAACCGCCTGGACCTAAGGAGGTTTTGTATATTCTAAGTCATTTGTTTTCAGACTATTCCTCTTAGATGTGGTTTTCATGTATCTCTGTATTCTGGCATTAGTTTATAACCACAATTAACTACATAGTTCCAGAAATCTAGGATGAACTGGTAAGAACAAACAGGATAGCCATGTAATTAGGTGTAAATTTAACAACAAATATAGATTGAGGTGCACTGTAGCCAGTGTTGATTTCAGTGGGCAGAGGTTCCTGAATTTCCAGTACAGAGAGTTTGGGACCATGCTGTGTGAGTAAAGACACTAATTTTGGAAGAGATTCTGTGTATACTTTAAAGGGTGCCAAGATCTATATAGAGTCTGAACATTCAGCAGTGTTACCACAACATTTTTGTTTTTCCTTTCAGATTCCAGCATGCCATGGGAGGAGTACCTGATTGGGCAGAGACTGGGAGCAAGCGGAGAAAATCTTCAGATGGTGAGTGTTGATGTCTGTGAGCTAATAAGTCCCTTTCTTTTTGCTTTTATTGAATTTTTCCCGAGCTTTTTAAAATGAAGTGTTTTAAATAAGCTTCCCTCCTTTTTGTTGGCTTTACAGTCTGACATTTCTCTGAGGGAAGTCCTGTTTTTGATAGTATAGGCTTATTCAATACAGGTTGAATATCTCTAGACTGATACTTGAAATATTTTAGAATCTGAAACTTCTGGAGCACTGGCTTTTTGAAACCAGGAGTGGGAAATTCTACACGGTGAAACTGTTTCATGCACAGAGTTGCCAGAAGTATCATTATAATCACCTTCAGGCAACATGTAAAGGGTATAAAAGAAATGAGGTTCATGTTTAGCTTTGGGTCATTCTTGAGTTACCTTATCATGTGCATGCAGGTACTCCAAGTTTGTGCTCCAGAGCACCTCTGACCTAAGCATTTCAGACGAGGGATAGTCAACCTGTAGCATATTACTTACTGTAAGGGAAATGAGAGGGGGAATGGATTGTTTCTGTCTTTACAGGACTGTGTTGTTTTATGATGTAGGATTAAGGAAAAATGAGTAATGTTTCATTCAGAGCCCCTTCTGAAGACACCTCTAACTAATCTAGCTGTCCATCCAGAAATGGGGTGTCTGTCAGTGGAGCCCAGATGGTAATGTAAAAAACTGCAGGTTTTAAGACTAGCTTATGTTATTAAATATTTTCTAGTTTAGACCCTCCAAGTTTAGATTCTATAAGTACAGATAGCTTCATCAAGATCTGATTTGTGTGCACAGTTATAAAACTTAGAATTGACATTTAAAGTCTGATGTAGCCTCACACTTACTTGGGAAGCTCTTAACATCTTTTTATTGGTTTCACCTGGAAATGATACACGCTACTCAGGCATGCTTTAGACAGGTTTTTGTCAGGTAACTCTGAGTGAGCTATGTGGACCAAACTGGCCTTGAGCTCACAGTGATCTGCCTGCCTCTGCCTTTGGAGTATTCAGGCCATCTGTATTTTTCCTGTACTATAGTCTGGATGTTTTTGGATCTCTCAGCTAATTTTGGGACACTGCTAAAAACATCGATTGGAGGCTAAATTTAATTACTGTGTTTTTTAGTTCTAGAATTTCCATTTGTTTCTTTTTTCTTTTTCTTTTTTTTTTTGACCAATTCTCATGTAGCTTATGCTGGCCCTGAACTCAGATGGCTTGTGGCAGCCAGTTCTCTCTTTCCATCATGTGGGGCCTGGGCATCAAACTGGTTAGGCTTGGTGGCAAGTGTCTTTACCTGCTTAGCCACCCTGTCATTCCTTATTGAGGTGCTTGTACACAGTTGCCTGGCACTGATCTTTTTTTTCACGTGTGGTGTTAGGCTGTCTCTCTGTCTACCCTGTTACTAATTTTGCCGTAATTATGAGTTGCTCTTTTTAAATGAAACGCTGACTTTATTTAAACTTGATCTCCTTTCATAGTAACCATCTGTGTGAGTTTTCTTCCCAGTTAAGCTTTAATTTTAGCCATATATGTAAAGTGCTGTGTCATCTTTTTGTCTTTCACTGTGTTTTGATTTTACCATTTTCAGCTCAAAAAGCAGTTGAGGTTGTAAAGCTAGGATGGGAGTTGGATTTGTAACTAGAGAAGTTTGGGTTAGGAAAAGGCCTTCTGATTGATTCTAAAGATGAGCCTGTGGGTTTATTTGACTTAGATGAAAGTGAAGAGGATGAAGATGATTTGTTGCAAAGGACTGGGAATTTCATATCCACATCCACTTCTCTTCCAAGAGGCATCTTGAAGGTGAGAGTTGGTGAAGTTGGACCTATCCAGTTACTGAAATCCATCCTGCTTCCTAAATTGTGCAAGTATGGATACTGCTTGTATGTTGGGCTAGGGTTTTGTTGTCGTTTTGCTTTAATATTTGTTAGGTTTTTCTTTTCTTTTGCAGAGATGATGGAGAGCTACTTAAGTATGTCCTACTTAAGTACTTCTAGAATCCTATTTGGTTTCTTTTTCATTCCATTGGAACAATCTCCTGCTGCTGCCATCTCAGTCAGCCTGCGTCAGTGGTTAGGCTACTGGCTCTCTACATCCACCGTACCTCATCCTGTGAACTGTTCTTAATATAGTAATACTAGAGGGAGCTTTTATTTACTTACCTGTGTATGTTGGGATAGGTGCATGGGAGTGCAGATACCAGTCCCGCCAGAGAAGGGCATTCGATCATTGGAGCTGGAGTTACAAGTGGCTTTGAGCTGTTTGATAGGAGTGCTAGATCTTGGATTTGAACTTGGATCTTCTGCAGGAATACTGTATACTCTTAACCACTGAGCCATTTCCCCAGCCCTTAGAGGGAGCTTTTAAAAATAGTTTCAGGTCATATCACTTTTACTTGCTTTTTAAACCCTCTGTATTTCTGTCATGGTCTTCCTTTTTTTTTCCAGACAGGGTTTCTCCATGTAGTTTTGGTGCCTGTCCTGGATCTCACTGTAGACCAGGCTGGCCTCGAACTCACAGATACCTGTCTGGCTCTGCCTCCCAAGTGCTGGGGTTAAAGGCATGCACCACCTCTGCCCAGCCCATGGTCTTTCTTATTATACCCATGTCCTTAGCTTCATCTCAGACATCCTTTATCTCAGGCCCATACAGGCCTTTGTGTTTCTTAAACATATTGGGTCCTTTCTTTACTTTGAACCCTGTCCCTGCTTTCTTCTGTCTGTGCCTTCCTTAGGCACTGCTAGTGCCTAACTGTTCAGTTCTTCTGCATTATAAACAATGTTTTTTCTTCTTTCTCTAAGACAGTGGTTCTTTCTTAATCTTCCTAATGCTGCAACCCTTTAATTCAGTACCTTGTGTTGGGGTGATTCCCCCACCAAACTTTAATTTATCTTGCTACTTCATAACTGTAAGTTTGCTATTGTTATGAATTGTAATGAATATCTGATATGTAGGATATATGGTATATAACCCCTGTGAAAGGGTTGTTTGCCCCAAAGGGACCATGACTCACAAGTTGAGAGCTTCTACTGTAAGCGATGCTAACCCAATTGACTTGATAAAATTCCAGCTTTGTGTTTCCACAGATGAAGAACTGCCGCCCTGCCAATGCTGAACGGCCTACCACTGCTCGGATCTCATCAGTGCAGTTCCATCCTGGTGCACAGGTGGTGATGGTCTCTGGGGTAGATAATGCCATCTCACTATTTCAGGTATGAATTTCTAAATGAAGTCATGTAGTGAAAAGTGTTCACTACCAGAACACAGGCTCTGTGGAAATAACCAAAGAAAACATTTGTACTTTCTTACAGGTTGATGGCAAAACAAATCCTAAAATCCAGAGCATCTATTTGGAAAAGTTTCCAATCTTTAAGGCTTGTTTCAGTGCTAATGGAGAGGAGCTTTTAGCCACAAGTATGCACAGCAAGGTTCTTTACGTCTATGATATGCTAGCTGGCAAGTTAATTCCTGTACATCAAGTGAGAGGTAAGACTTTGTACACAGAGTCGATCATCCTTATTTTACAACTTCTCTCAACCTGAATTTACCAGTATTTATAACTATTCTTTTTAATCCCAGATGTGTGTGTGTGCACAGTCTCACTGTGTATCCCTGCCCTGATTGCCCTCAGATTCACAGATTCACTGTCTCTGTGTCCCAAATCCTGATCTCCATAGTACTTTTTCTTTTTTTAAAATTTTTTAAATGATTTATTTATTTTTATTTTATATGCATTGGTGTTTTGTCTGCCCACATGTCTGTCCGAGGGTGTCAGATCCCCTGGAACTACAGACAGTTATGAACTGCTATGTGGGTGCTGGGAATCGAACCCAGGTCCTCTGGAAGAGCAAACAGTGCTCTTAACTGCTGAGCCATCTCTCCAGCCCCTCTTCACAGTATTCTTAAAAGTAAGAGTTTGTTCATTTAATAGTATTTGAGAGTTGTCTTGTGTTGAGGAAGTATGCTTGAATGAAGCTAGTGAACTGACTCTTTAGTTAAGCACTTAGAGTAGGTTCATAATTTATAAGTATACATTTCTTCTAGACCACAGATGCTATTGCTTGGCTTTATTTGTCCTTGTTAATTAAGTGATTTTCTTCTTTGTTATGTTTATTTTTTGTGTGTTGGGGGCCCAGTGCTTGTAGGCTAGGATTTTATCACTGGGCTAAACCCTAGCCCCTGATACTTTATTTAAAAAGTGTAGCTAGAGTTTTCCTGCCTGGCCCACAGTCAGGGCAAATCTCTCTCACCTGCCAGTCCCACAGACGCTCAGACCCGACCAAGTAAACACAGAGACTTGTATTGGTTTCAAACTGTATGGCCATGGCAGGCTTCTTGCTAACTGTTCTTTCAGCTTAAATTAATCCATTTTTATAAATCTATACCTTGCCACATGGCTCGTGGCTTACCGGCATCTTCACATGCTGTTTCTCATCGTGGCGGCTGGCAGTGTCTCTCTGACTCAGCCTTCCACTTCCCAGCTTTATTCTCCTCCTTGTCCCGCCTACACTTCCTGCCTAGCCAATGGCCAATCAGTGTTTTAATTATTGACTAATCAGCAACACATTTGACATACAGAACATCCCACAGCAAAAAAGTTTTTTGTTTTTTGTTTTTTGTTTTTTTTTTTAGATTATTTTATTTTATACATTTGTGAGTTTTGCCTGCATATATGTATTGTACCTACCTGGTACCAGCAGAGGTCAAAAGATGTTGGATCCCCTGGAACTAGAGTGATAAAGATGGTTATGCTCCTCTACTAGGTGCTGGGAACTGAACTTGGGTCTTCTGTAAGAACAAGTGCTCTTAACTGATGAACTACCACTTTATTTAAAATTAATTCCTTTCTTTCTTTCTTTCTTTCTTTCTTTCTTTCTTTCTTTCTTTCTTTCTTTCTTTCTTTCTTTGTGAGTATGGACACCACATGTATAGGTAGCTGCAGATGTTAGAAGAGGGTATCTGGCTGGGCGGGTGGTGGCGCATGCCTTTAATCCCAGCACTCGGGAGGCAGAGCCAGGCGGATCTCTGTGAGTTCGAGGCTAGCCTGGTCTACAAAGTGAGTTCCAGGAAAGGCGCAAAACTACAGAGAAGCCGGGCGGTGGTGGCGCACGCCTTTAATCCCAGCACTCGGGAGGCAGAGCCAGGCGGATCTCTGTGAGTTCGAGGCCAGCCTGGTCTACAAAGTGAGTTCCAGGAAAGGCGCAAAACTACAGAGAAACCCTGTCTCGAAAAACCAAAAAAAAAAAAAAAAAAAAAAAAAAAAAAAAAGAAGAAGAAGAGGGTGTCTGATTCCCTGGAACTGGAGTTACAGATGGTTGTGAGCTACTATGTGGGTGCTAGGAACTGAACTTGAGACCTTTGGAAGATCAACCAGTACTCTTAACTGGTGAGCCATCACCTCTTTAGCCCCCTCATACTTGGCTTTAATGGTAGCAGGTGAGGTGGTAGAAAGAACATTAGCTAGGGATATAGAAGACCTGGCTTCTACTTCTTGGATAACTTGTTTCACTGCTCTGATAGCTGGGCATTGTATACTTTAATTCTAATGTTGTTTATTTTAAATGATGATTTATATTTGATATAAAACACTTTTGAGAAGTACTTATGTAATGCATTTTAAAGAACAACCTAGGCAAAACCAAAATGAGCTATTTTCATCAGGTGATATATTTACCTACCCTCTTAACCATTTTTTCTCTGTATTGTCCTGCTTATGCTACCTGAAAATACAGGTGACACCTTCATGATTCCTTTGGGAAACAAAAGCCACTATAATGATGTGGTGGACCAGCTCCCACACTTACTTACCCCAGGACCTCTTGAAGAATGAGGGATAAGAGACTTAGTTAGAAATAGAGGGAGAGAGAAAACACAGGATAGACTTGGGTGAGCCTGGATCCTTATCCACCGGCCCAGAACTTTATTCCAAAGGTCTGTTTGTAACAATGCTAAGGGGTGGAGCAAAAGACTTCCCCTTGCTAGTTACAGTCACCTGGTACCCAGGCCCGTGATCCATTCAACTTCTTATGTAGTCCTGCTAGGTACAGCCACTAGGAAACCTACTGGGCTCCAACATAATGATGTTGGCTGGCTTAACATACTTGGGCCAAAGTGTTGGCACAGGCCATGCATGGGTCACTGGCAGTCTTCCTGTTGTACTTGTGTAGCTGTATTCCTGTTAATGGGTGACAGTGACTAAGACCAAATTAAAGAGGCATTTATGTTTATCTTCAGTGTTTCTAGTCAATTCTTTCCTGTTTTCTGATGCCTTATATTGAAACAGAAAACTTACTTTGATAGCTCCTGTATTTGCAATTCGTCATACCCATGGCTCAAAACCATCTGTAAGCCCAGTTCCAAGGGATCCAATTCCCTTTTCTGGCCTCTAAGGGTGCTGCACACACATGGTGCACAGACATACATGTAGGCAAAACTCCCATACACATTTAAAAACAACCAAAAAACCAAGCAGGCTCTGGGATTGCTTAGCAGGTAAAGGTGCTGCTTGCTGCTTCAGTTTGATGGCCTGAGTTCTGTCTTTATAACTCAGGATAGAAGAAGAAAGCAAAAGAAAATAAAACTATACCATACTTGAGAAATTTATTTGCTGTGCTTAGGATTTAACCCAGGGCCTTGATCCTGCCAGGCAGGTACTTTACCACTGAGCTATATCCCTAGCCCTATGAAAATACTTTGAGAAATTTAGGATATTTCATTAAGGTGGGATATTTCTGACTAGGATATGTAAGCTTTTGTATGCAAACTCTTGTTGTCATAAATGCTTGTTGAAAAATGAAAACAGAATTGATTCAGATTTTATGTTCCATTTACCTATCAGGGCTTATAACTTAAGCAGTAGAGGTAGTCTGAAGGAGCCTCACCACGCACTTCCTTATAGAATAAAGGCTTTTTACCACATTTTTAAAAAAAGTCCTTCTGGTTGTCTAATCAGTAGTGGCACTTGAGCAGCTTGAATTAAATTTTTTTTTTTTTGACTAGGCAGCATGTTTGCATGATATAGAAAGCCAGCAGGTGTGGTGGTACATGCCTGTAATCCCTGCACTTGAGGCAGGAGGATCATATCAGAGTCATCCTTGACTACATAGTGAGTTAAAGGCTGTCCTGGATTTGAAAAGCACACTGCCCTCCCTCTCCCCCCCAGTATGCACAAATGAACAATAATGGGAAATCTATTCTCTTCCCTGGTCACCTCCTTCCCTTACCTTTAGTTAGCCATTTGCACCATTTTTATGTGTCCTTTCTATAGATCACTTTATGAGTAACTTGGCTCTTAGCATTCTGATAGGGTCAATGTGAAAGGATTTTTAAATGGGTGAACAGACTCTCAATTACATGTATGCATGTCATCATGAGAACCTAATCAATTCTTAAACACACTTGAAAGTTAGGAGTTTATACTTTTAAAGTACAACATTAAAGATTATTTTCCCATTCATCATAGATGGCAACCAGATAGCTTGGCCATCTCTATTGGCAGTGGGTTTCCTTTCTGTTAATGATCTATGCAACAACAAACTAAATAGTCCTTTTGGTTAGAGTATCACTGCTTACATTTGGCAAATGAGTTGATTACTGTTTGGAGAGCTGACCTGTTGAATGTTAACCAAGATGAAGTTGTAACCATTTTGAAATGAACATTTGGGTTCTTTCTGATGTTACATGCAATCAGAATTATTCAAAGCTTGGGTTTTGCTTAATTTGTAGCTTGTAAACATTTTAAAAGGTAAGGGAACTTAATTGTTAATAGAAGGTAAATCCACCCCCCCCCCCCCCCCCCCCCCAAGGTTTCTCCGTGTAGTTTTGGTGCCTATCCTGGATCTCGCTCTGTAGACCAGGCTGGATTCGAACTCAAAGAGATCTGCCTGGCTCTGCCTCCCGAGTGCTGGGATTAAAGGTGTGCGCCACTGCCGACCGGTTGAGGGTAAACTTCTTAAAAGTCATTAAATCTATCGTTTCATCTCCTTTCTTAGGTTTGAAAGAGAAAATAGTGAAGCGTTTTGAAGTCTCCCCAGATGGATCCTTCTTGCTCATAAGTGGCATTGCTGGGTTTTCTCATTTGCTGTCAATGAAGGTGAAACATTTAGTTGCTTCTTAATTCTTCCATTAGATATTAAGGCTAGAGTTTAGGACAGTCTTGAACTCAGTGTGTTCTTTTTTTTTTTTTTGAGATGGGGTTTTGCTATATAGCCCTGGCTGGCCTCCAACTAATAGAGATCCACTTATCTGTGCCTCCAGAGTAATAAGATCAAAGGCTTGTACTCAATGTATTCTTAAATCTATACCTCAAGTAAAACTTTGGGAGTTGTGGGCAGTTGAGGGAAAACTTTTGACAATGAGAAAAATAGAGTCAGGGCTGGAGAGATGGCTCAGTGGTTAAGAGCACTGGCTGCTCTTCCAGAGCAGCTGGGTTCTGTTCCCTGTACCTACATGTTGATTTACAACCATCTATAACTCTAATTCTGGAGGATTTGTTACCCTCTTCTGGCTTATGTGGGCAACAGGCACAAATGTGCCCAGACATACATGCAGAGAAAAGAGTTGGACACATAAAATAAAATTAATAAACAAAAGTTAGAGTCAAATGCTTTGTGGAAGAAAGATAACAGCCTTCTAACATCCAGTAAATAATTAATTATTCTTAGACCAAAGAACTAATTGGTAGCATGAAGATTAATGGAAGAATTGCAGCATCCACATTCTCTTCCGATAGTAAGAGGATATATACTTCTTCTGGTAAGTTTGGATGTATTTATGTTTCAAATTTTATAAAAAAATAAACCGTGCTTGGTTTTCTACTTACTGTTTTAGTAAGAAAATCAGATATATTTAGTACTTACTTTCTCTCATTTGCCAGGTCAGTTAAAAACTAATAACAGTGAGGGATTAACCATCTGATACACAGTGTTAACATGCTTGCTATGTGTACCCTTACTCCAATGTGGGTCAGTTTTCAAGGAGATGGTTAAAACGAGTTTTGCTGAATTCTCTTTGGGAGCATAAGGTTGTACGTGGAAGGGCAAACCTTAGAACAGTATCTACAGAAAAGGAAGGGATGAGGGAGTGAGGAGCCATCCTTGAGGTGAATGAGGTAATATTATAATAGAAAAAAATTAGTATCATAGGATGGGAAGGTGCTGTAGGAACAAGAAAAAGAATTGACCAATTTTGGGAATTAGATGGCTGTTTCCATCATAGAAATATTTGTCATTTCTTGTATATATCTTTTATCTTGCCCACATTAATTCTCCAGATTAATATGTGCTCATTGCTTACTTTTAATCATAATTTGTAAATGATTTGAAACAAGCAGTATATGACTTTTTAGTTAAATTATAAATGTTTTGTGGTATGGATCAGTTCATTTATTTTCTTCACCATCATTAAAAGTTGTCTTATCTACACTGTCTAGCCTTATATATACTAGATACTCTAATGCTTGTTGGTATTTTTTTCCCTTTTATATATTAGCTCTAATAATTTAGTGGAATATACCACTTTTTACTTGGGAGATCAACTCAAATGTGTTTTTTTTTTTCACTTTAAATCTAAGGATACTTTTTTTTGAATGACCTATGAACTTTAGTGTATGTTTGAAATGTTTTTAGTTTTTTGGAAATAGGGTTGAGTTCCTTGTGCTGTTAAAGAGTGATTAAAAGTGGTAAGTCCACTTGCTTTTTAAAGCAAGATTAGCTGAACCCTTCTTTGGCTTTGACTTTCAGGGAATGGAGAAGTTTATGTGTGGGATGTGAATTCGAGGAAGTGTGTTAACAGATTTCTTGATGAAGGCAGTTTATATGGATTAAGCATTGCTACGTCAAAGAATGGACAGTATGTGGCTTGTGGGTGAGTGAAGAGAATCACATTGTACCAATGAGAAAATGGTTTTGCACTTAAATACACTAGATGGTACATAGCTTTTTTTTTTTTTGGTTTTTCGAGACAGGGTTTCTCTGTGTAGCTTTGCACCTTTCCTGGAACTCACTCTGTAGCCCCGGCTGGCCTCGAACTCACAGAGATCCACCTGGCTCTGCCTCCTGAGTGCTGGGATTAAAGGCGTGCGCCACTACCGCCCGGCCCTACATAGCTTTACTGACAACTTAGAATTATGAAATCAGTAAACTTAGCTGAGCCTTTTTTGTAAAATGGTCTTGTGCATCATTTATTAATAATGGCAGTTTGCTTTTTAGCAAAGAAGATACTAGACTACCTTAAATCATTGTATATTTTCCTGAGTTTAGAATACTCATTTGATCATGGCAAGGTTTCTATCTTAGTGTATTTAGCTTCTTGCCATTGATGAGGAAGTATAGTAATTCAACTTTGGATTTAAATCTCTTAAGTCCTTTTAAGTGTCGTGTAAATCAAAAACATATTCTTTGGAAATATCATTTGTTAGTATGGTAGCTGTCTTAGCCGCTGTTCTTTTCCTGTGAAGAGAGACAGACACCATGATCACAGCAACTTTTATAAAAATAAAGCATTAAATTAGGGCTTACTTATCATTTCAGAAATTTAGTCTATTATTATCAAGGCAGGGAGCATGGTGGCATGCAGGCAAACATGGTGCTGGAGAAGAAGCTGAGAGTTCTACATCCGGATCCATAGACGGCAGCAGGAAGGGAGACCCATTGTGTCAGGCTTGGGCTTTTGAAACCAAAAAGCCCACCCCCAGTGACACACTTCCTTCAACAAGGCCACACCTCCTAATCCTTCTTAAGTAGTGCCACTTCCTGATGACTAAGCATTCAAATATATGAACCTGTGGGGGTCATTGTTATTTAAACTATCACAGTAGGCACTTACGATTTTATAAAACATGTTATTGGGTTATTAGTGGAAAAAATGGTTTATACTTGAGAAAAGATGACTTTATCTGATCTTAAAAATGTAGGTAGAAGGAGGGAATTGCATAATTAGTGGTGGTTCTAACCTAACTTACAAAATCTTGTTAGCATCCGTAATTTTGGTAGTTCAAGATGTTGTCTGACCTTAGATCAAACACAATTGAGCTGTAAAGAAATTATAGTTAGGTATTCCCTGAGTGGGAAGTTAAGGGTCTAGGTGTCTAGATATGCAGCATACTTCTTCAACATTAAAATTGGGAAACTGCTTGTGAATATCCCCAGCGGGTTTGGGACCTGGGAAGGCCAATAGAACTGAGCTGGAGAGCTGGAGACAACTGGTATTCCTTAGGTGGTAGGATACTGACAGGCAGCTCTCAGTGCGATTGCCTTTCCTTGGTTGCTAGTCCACACATGCTGTAGCTGTAGAGCGATGCATCTCAACACTAGATAAGCTTTGCCAGAGTAATATGCAGTTCGCACAGCTCCCGATTAGCAGGACTGACAAGAAAGTGCTTGATACGAGTGATTTTTGAGTAGAACTGCTCTTCCTGTGTCAGGCAAGGTTGAGTGTACAAAAATGACCTTGTTTCATATTTGTGAAGTCAGTGCAGTTAGTATTTTTGTGGTCCTTGCCTTCTCTTTTGTTTCACTTTTTATTAGTCCAGTGTAGCTGGAGTTTTCCTGCCTGGCCCACAGTCAGGACAAACTCTCTCACCTGCCAGTCCCACAGACGCTCAGACCCGACCAAGTAAACACAGAGACTTATATTGGTTACAAACTGTATGGCCGTGGCAGGCTTCTTGCTAACTGTTCTTACAGCTTAAATTAATCCATCTCCATTAATCTATACCTTGCCACATGGCTCGTGGCTTACCGGCATCTTCACATGCTGTTTGTCATCGTGGAGGCTGGCAGTGTCTCTCTGACTCAGCCTTCCACTTTCCAGCTTTATTCTCCTCCTTGTCCCGCCTACACTTCCTGCCTAGCCAATGGCCAATCAGTGTTTTATTTATTGACTAATTAGCAACACATTTGCCATACAAAACATCCCACAGCACTTCCCCCATTTTTTTTTTTTCAAAAAGGAAGGTTTTAACCTTAACAAAATAAAATTACATATAATTTGGGAATTTGGGCGTAGCTTCTCTTACTACTTCCTGCTGGAGGGGGGCGCTGTATCTTATGGGGAAACAAAGAAAATTTTAGGATTATGGAATAGTCCATGAGGCTGTATCGTCTGAGCCAGATGCCTTCAAACCGTTCTGGATGTTGGATCATCTGGGCCATGGTGTCATTGGAGACCTTTCAGGGGGTCTTGGCTGGTCAAACCTGATGTATCTTAATTTGGAACAAATCCATAGCCTCTGGCTTTCTGTGGGAGCAAAAGCAGAGTCTCCTTTCCAAAACAACACATCCTTATATTCAAATTTTGAAGTCAAGGTATCTTTAAAATATACATATTGGTTTAACTCAGTTTCCTTTACAATCAAATATCTCTCTGCATTTAAGAATCCCAAAGACAACACAATCCAGATTCTCTGTGTAATATTCATCTTTACATGGCTTATTTTCTATATTAATTTTACTGTCTCTTTAAAGACTTTATTTTTTAAAACTATGTATTTGTTTATATAACTGTATATATCACCTTTTTTGTCTCTTTTAAGCCTACGTATATTTTATACACATTGTAGACTATTACATCTGAATCTGTCTTATTATGAATCTATTGCTTTAAACTGCAGCAGCTGTGGCTGCTGGCTCCGCCCACCTCAGCTTCCCAACATTTACTGCCAGCTTTGGGAGCTATCCTGGGTCTATGCTTTTGTCCAAGCAGCGTGTAGCCCAGAAACCTCTTTTTTTGTTTTGTACTAGCAAAGGCTAAATCCACCATGCAGCTTAATATGCTACTTGCAGAGGCCTCATTCCCGCCATACTGCAGGTTGAGCACGCACTCTAGGAACCCACCAGTAGCTCAAACGGGCAGCTGCTGCTCATTTGAGAGAGACAATTAGGAAGCTGTTTTTAGCTCCGTTTTAGCATCTTTTTTTTTCTCAGTTTTTAGGTGGAAACTCTTGCCACCACGTTGGACGCCATTTGTAGCTGGAGTTTTCCTGCCTGGCCCACAGTCAGGACAAACTCTTTCACCTGCCAGTCCCACAGACGCTCAGACCCGACCAAGTAAACACAGAGACTTATATTGGTTACAAACTGTATGGCCGTGGCAGGCTTCTTGCTAACTGTTCTTACAGCTTAAATTAATCCATCTCCATTAATCTATACCTTGCCACATGGCTCGTGGCTTACCGGCATCTTCACATGCTGTTTGTCATCGTGGAGGCTGGCAGTGTCTCTCTGACTCAGCCTTCCACTTCCCAGCTTTATTCTCCTCCTTGTCCCGCCTACACTTCCTGCCTAGCCAATGGCCAATCAGTGTTTTATTTATTGACTAATTAGCAACACATTTGCCATACAAAACATCCCACAGCAGTCCAGTTTGAAGGGTCTGTGCAAAAAATCTAATACTAGAAATTGAAACTCATTTTAATTGCTCTTCAGTGTAATTGAATTCTCATGTTGTTGGCCAGAGATCATTTTTATGTTTTAGTTAAATCTGTTAAGAAAAGCTTTAATCCTTGTTAGAATTCCTGATACCATCTGATAGGTGGTGTTGTAGACTCAAGGTGGAGCGGGGAGAAGCTGGAATCTTCTCTGGTCTATGCTCCTGGCACTTGATTCCTTTCATCTCACATCTCCTATTACTATCTGTCAACTCGATGTAGTTCTTAAGTGCATGCTTTCTATTTACAACTTTGCTGTGATAGAATAGCCAAGAATACTTTTGTAAAGAGAGTTCTTTTACTTTACACTGTCATTTGAATAGCTTTGGAGACTGGCGTGATACGGTACATGCCTATAATCTCAGCATTTGTGATGTAGAAGCAATCAGATTTAAATGTTTTTTTGTTGTTGTTTTTGGTTTTTTGAGACAGGGTTTCTCTGTGTAGCCCTGGCTGTCCTGGAACTCGCTCTGTAGACCAGGCTGGCCTCAAACTCACTGAGATCCACCTGCCTCTGCCTACTAAGTGCTAGGAGTAAAGGGTGATTTGAGATAGGTTCTCTGGTATCCCAGGTTAGCCTCATACTTGCTAGCTGAGGCTGGCCTTGAATTCTTGATCCTCTTGCCTCCACCTCCCGAGTGCTGGTATTGTAGGTGTATATCATCATGTTTCACTTGTTTCATGTTCTCTAATCAGTTTTCTATCAGGTGATTAGAAATTTGTTGACTTTAGTCATGATTAGCTTATAATAAATACAAAGGTTGTTTGGAGGGGGACAGCTGGTGTTTGTAGGAGTAAGATGAGTGAGATTCTGGAAGTAGATTGGAATCAGCCTTGGGGACAATAGAGAAAGGTGACTGAAGGAACTGGTAGAAATCAGTCTTTGGTATTTGTGCTTATTTGTTTGAGGGTCTGTATGACATATGTAGTTATGTCTTAACTTTTAAAAAGAGACAGGTTCTTGCTTTCTCATATAGGCTGGCTTCAAGCTTGAGAGCCTCCTGTCTCATGCTCTTGAGATTTGGGATAGATGTATGCTCCCACAGTTGACTTTTTTGGGTCCCTTTGTTTGCTCAGGCTTGTCTCTGGCTCCTATTATCTTCTTATCCTGGGTAGCTGAGACTACAGGCATGCGCTATTATGTTCTTTTTAAAATTCTTGTCACACACTTCTAGCATCTGATTTGGCTTGATATTGGTACTATGACGGGAGCCATTTGACTTCTTTGGGGAATAATGTCTGAGAATAGCATGAATGGCTGTCCTTGAGGCAAGGCCCTGAAGACCCTGACCCACTTGACAAAAACCTGTGGACAGCTGCATAATTCCAGGCATGACCCCAGGAGCATATGTGCTACCTGCTCTCCTTGCTTTTACTGTGCTAGCCATACTGCTGACGTGAATGAGTCACAGTAGGTCATGAAGTTTAATACTACATATTTGCATAACTGTTCTGGAAAGAATGATTTTAACCACTAATCTTTGAGAATTGTTAATAAACAGATGATATTAGGAGTTAATGGGAACAGTCTAGGAACAGGGGATGTAGCAGAATCATAAAAACCTACAGTTCCCTCATTTCTAATAACTGTGCCAATAACTTAGTTAAGAAAGATGGACGTAAGGATAAGGGATGAACAGTGCCAACTATTAAGAGTAAGTTTCCAGTTAAGTTGCCTAAAGGATAAATGGAAATACTTGGTATATCCCCAGAAGAGATAGAGTAGTACAGAATGTAGAATGGATTGATCCAGCTTTGGCTGTTGAGTTGACTGTGAGAACCCAGACTCTACCAGATGTAAATATTAACCATTAGAGACAAAACTGTCTCACCCTGCATAATGCTGTAACTGCATATGCTGCCAGCTGGGCACACTGTTCTGCCTGTAAGTGTGCCTACTTAGAACAGCTCCTTTGTAGCTTGCAAGGCTGCTTATGCTTCTAACAGGAGAGAGATCAAAAAGGTAATGGCTACTGGTGAAAAAGCTGGGGGACAGAAGGGGAAAGAAGCAAGGAACAAACTGGTACTTACTGTAATCATTTTTAGAAACTAAGGAAGTAAAACCTTCATGCAAACCACTGAAACTGTATAAATAAAAATAGCCTAGGCTATCTGGGGCCACTTGTTTGAATAGTAGGTAGTCACAATCTCTTCTTGGCGCCAACTTCACACATCCATCCCTGGTCATTGAACCCACCTGGAGCAAGGCTTCCAGCAGTACTAGTTGAGATTTTTGTCTCATTCAGGTTGTAAATACTTGGCTTTAGCATGACATTGTCTGTTGTATTCTGGACATTTTAACATTTTGTTTGGTATATATACCTTTGTTTTAGTTTTGTGTCTTTGTTTAATTTTCTTAAGACAGAATCTCATGTATCCCAACCTGGCTTCCGACTTGCTGTGTAGCTGAGATGACTGACTTTGCACTCTTGTTCCCTCTGCTTTTATGTCCTCCTAAGTGCTGGGATTATAGGCATGGGACACCATACCTACTTTAGTTTTATGTTGGTTGTTCTTTGCTATAAGTCACTAGGGCCAGTTTTAAGTTATCTGTGGATTATTTGTACCATGTTTAATTAAGTTTACTTTTATGGGGGTAGAGGTGGAGCAAAATGGAGTCTTCCATATAGCCCTGGTGTCTTAGTTAGGGCTATTCTATTCTCTTGCTGTGAAGAGACACCATGATCATGGCAACTCTTACAAAGGAAAACGTTTAGTTGGGGCTAGCTTACAGTTTCAGAGGTTTAGTCCATTATCATCATGGCGGGACATGGCGGTGTGCAGGCAGACACGGTGCTAGAGAAGGAGCTGAGAGTTCTACATCTTTACCTGCAGTCATTAGAAACAACTATATGTCATACTGAGTGTAGCTTGAGCAAAGGAGACCTCAAAGCCCACCCCCACAGTGAAACACTTCCTCCAACAAGACTACACCTCCCAATAGTGCCACTTGCTGTAGGCCAAGCATTCAAACACATGAGTCTATGGGGCCATTCCTATTCAGACTACCATTCTTGGTTGCCTTTGAACTTTTGTGTCAGCTTCTTGAGTGTTCAGATTATAGGTGTGCACTCCGCTTCCAGCTTTATGTGACTCATTCTTGATGCACATCACATTAGAATGTCTGATCATTGAGACAAAAAACATGTATTTAAAGTTTTATTTTGTTTTGTGTTTCAACTGTTACTCACATTGTAGTTTAGGCTGGCTTAAATTTACCAAGTAGCAGCTGAGTGGTAGTGCATTTCTTTAATCCCAGCACTCAGGAGGCAGAGGCAGGTGGATTATTCTGAGTTTGAGGCCAGCCTGGTCTACAAGCAAGTTCTAGGACAACCAGAGTGTAGCTAGAGTTTTCCTGCCTGGCCCACAGTCAGGACAAATCTCTCTCACCCGCCAGTCCCACTCAGACCCGACCAAGTAAACACAGAGACTTATATTGGTTACAAACTGTATGGCCGTGGCAGGCTTCTTGCTAACTGTTCTTACAGCTTAAATTAATCCATTTCCATTAATCTATACCTTGCCACACGGCTCGTGGCTTACCGGCATCTTCACATGCTGTTTCTCATCATGGCGGCTGGCAGTGTCTCTCACTCGGCCTTCCACTTCCCAGCTTTATTCTCCTCCTTGTCCCGCCTACACTTCCTGCCTAGCCAATGGCCAATCAGTGTTTTATTTATTGACTAATTAGCAACACATTTGCCATACAGAACATCCCACAGCACCAGAGCTGTTACACAGAGAAACCCTGTCTCACACCACACACACACACACACACACACACACACACACACACACACACAAACACACCCATTTAAGTAGCCCACTTTCTATCTGAGCCTCCTGAATCAGGCATGAACTGTCCTGCCTCTCTTAAAGTACTCATCTGTGAATGATTCTGTTAGTGATAGACTTAACAGTAGGCCCTTAATTTACCTTTAAGAGCATTGGATATCTTTCTTTGTTGGTAAACATTAATGCAAACTCTGAGTGGATAACCATAAACCTTGACTATGAACTAATGAATATTCCCAGGAAAGCCAAATTAAGGTGTACGATTTTTACTGTCTTTGTTCTCTAGTTTCGTAGTTCCCACAAATACATTCAAAGAATAAAAAAAGACGAGCTAGAAATGGCAGAAGGGAATGGTGGTGTTTACTGTAGAAAGAAAAGCAGCAGCTGTCGGTGGGCAGTGTCAGTTGTCTTTCACATATTAGAATAGTAGGCAATGTCCAGGCCTGCTGGTGCTGGCTTTTACTCCCAGGTAGAAACTCAGGCTAGCTTGGCAACGTAGTGAGACCCTATACTAGGAGGGAAAGGGCAAAAGGGCTGGAGATAGACTTGCTTAGCATGTTTGTGAGGCCTAAGATTCAATCCCCAGGACCACAAAACAACAAACACGAAGTAGTCCTGGAAGTTAGGCAGTGGGCACTCTGGGAGAGTGCTTGTCTCAGTTCCTTCGTGTGCCTTGCATCTCAAGCACTTGAGTAGTACCTGGCTTGGAGTGGACATTTGCTCTGTTCTTTGATTTATCAGCAGAGAGTAAAGTGCAGATTCTGTGCTTTCTTGAGTTTGTAGGTAGACTACAATTGAAAAGCTGCCAGAGTTAAGAGCGCAGCCAGACTGAAGCTGCACTGACAGGATGGCTTTTGTCTTGCCTTGAACTCTTTAGTCATTGGACTCTTTGCAGTTTGTTTCCCACAAATACCAGTTTGTGTTCATCTAGGTTGCAAAGACTGTTTTAAATCTGTTTTATTTCCCTTTCTTTTTGCAGTTCTAAGAGTGGAGTGGTAAACATATACAGTCAAGAGTCTTGCCTCCAACAAACAAACCCAAAGCCAATAAAAGCTATAATGAACCTGGTCACTGGAGTCACTTCCTTGGCCTTCAATCCCACTACAGAAATCTTGGCAGTGGCTTCCAGAAAAATGAAAGAAGCTGTCAGATTGGTAATAATTCCTTTTACCTTTCCCCTTTATCTTGAGAATTTAACATTTCATGTTGAAACAGTGAGTGATAACAGGAAGGTAGTATTGGATTATTTTAAAGAGTGATTTCTGGGCTGGAGGTGTGGTTTAGTTGGTAGAGTGCTTGCTTGGAGGATTACGTGAGACCCTGAGTTCAATCCCCAGCACCAAAACAAATCCGGGTAGGTGACACATGCCCATAATCAAGGTCATCCTTGGCTACATAGCGGGTTGAAAGCTGGTCTGGTATGCATGAAAACTCTGTCTTAAAAAGCCAAAAACAGCAACAAAATGCTAAAAGGTTAAGTCATTTCAGTTCTGTTTGCAGAAATTAATATTTGGGAGCTTTTGGATTTATTTGGTGGTTGTATTTTTGTCCAGTAGCCACCAAATTTTGCAGTGTCTGTTTTATTAGAAATTCTGAGCTGTTCATTGTTAACATTTCTTAAGTTATGGTCCTCATTTTCAGAGATTTCTTCCAGCACATAAATTAAGGAACACATTTAAGGAAAGCACTTGATTTATCTACAGTTTCTTTAATTATTTTCTAAAAGCCTGTAGCTTCAATGGAGTGAAGGCAGTTTTTAGATTTTGAAAGTAAGTTGACTTGACATGTCAAGATGCTGCAGTTCAAATAGCTAGACGGGATTATGAATACCTGTGTCAAGATTGCCTTAGGCCACCCTCAGTTTTGATGATTTAGTGGAATGATACAGGACCCAGTATTTGGCTATATTATGGCTAAGATTTATTACAGCCAGAGGATACTAAGCAGAGTCAGCCAAGGGAAGAGCTACACAGGTAAAGTGTGGAGCAGCCTGGGAGTGAGTCCCTTTCCATAGAGTTGCACAGGATACATGTAATACCTCAGCCTTGAGGTGTGACCGCACACTGAGTGTTACTACCTCTGAGGCTCATTCGAGACTCGGTGCCCAGAGTTTGGGTTGAGGGTTCATGTGGACATCCTTTGCTTAGCATTTGCTGAGCTCTAGGTGCCCAGGAGTAAAGCCAGGTATTAAGCATAAATCACTTCATTTACACAACTGATTTGGGCTACCTGGCCCAAGTGTACTATCCTAATCATTCATAGAAAGTAGGGCACTGTTTACTCAGACATCATCCAAGGGCTGCTCTTGCAAGTCTTCCTGAGAATACTGGCCTCAGGACCACATTAACTCTTTTTGGTTCACCCTTAGAGTTCAGTTTAAAAGTCACTCTCATTTCTACAAGTTTCCTACTCCTCAGAACCAATTTCTTCACTTAACACTTATTTGCTCTTAGACTCAGGTATACAGATTTTGTCCAACTTTAAGTAGCAATATTGAGTTATGCTACTGTTACGTGTACACTGGCTTACAAAGGCTTGTTTTTATTTTGCTCCCTCAACAAAAGCTTTATATATATTTCATTGAGTATGAACTTAGATAATAGTGTGTATCTTACAAAGATTTACAAAGAACTCTTCAAAGCAATTTTGTGTTGATCACAGCCCTTCAGAGGATTTACAGTTAGTAAAGGGCAGAATTGTAATTTCATATTTTATACTTTTTGTTTTGTTGATGCAAGGTTGCCTGTAGCACAGGCTAGCCTTGAATTCCTGTTCCTCTTGCCCCCACCTCTCAAATGCAGGGATTACAGGCATGCACCGCCATTGCCTTGCTTAGATTCTGTACTATTTGTTTGTTGCATAGCTGTCCAGGGCTTATTTGACAGGGTGAAGAAGAGGCTAAGCTCCTGCCTCTGTTATGCAGCATATCTGTCCAGAGCCCATGGGCCCTGTCTGTCCAGCTAGTACTCTTTGCGCCTCATGTCTGTTGGATAGATTCTCTGTGCTGAGTTTATCCTTGGCTTCTTCTCTCTGCTTGCGGTTTTAGGTTTGCCCTCTTTTTTTTTTTTTTTTTTTTTTTTTGGTTTTTCGAGACAGGGTTTCTCTGTGTAGCTTTGCGCCTTTCCTGGAACTCACTTGGTAGTCCAGGCTGGCCTCGAACTCACAGAGATCCGCCTGGCTCTGCCTCCCGAGTGCTGGGATTAAAGGCGTGCGCCACCACCGCCCGGCTGTAGGTTTGCCCTCTTGATCATATCTGAATTCTTTTTGTGTGTTTGTTTTGTTTTCTGAGACAGGGTTTCTCTGTGTAGCTCTGACTGTTCTGGAACTCAAATTTGTAGACCAGGCTGTTCTCGAACTCATAGAGATCCACCTGTCTCTGCCTACTTCTGCCTCCCAAGTGCCTGGGATTAAGGCAATACACCACCACTGCCTGGCTCATCTTATATGAATTAAAAAAAAAAAAAATTACGTGTTATGAGTCTTTTGCCTACATGTATGTTCCATATGCATGCCTGGTGTCTGTGAGGGTCAGAAGAGAGTATCCCCTGGAACTGGAGTTGTTGTAAGACACCATGTTACTGCTGGGAACTGAAACCAGATTCTCAGGAAAGGCAGAAATTGCTTTTTACCGCTCAGCCAACTCTTCAGCCCCCCTGTATCTGAGTGTTATTGTTGTACTTCCTTACTTTGCTCCCCCCACCTCCCCCAACAGGGTTTCTCTGTGTAGCTTTGGTGCCTGTCCTGGATCTCGCTGTATAGACCAGGCTGGCCTCGAACTCACAGAGATCTGCCTGGCTCTGCCTCCCGAGTGCTGGGATTAAAGATGTGCGCCCAGCTACTTATTTTCTTCATAGATGTTTGAGTGTAGTGTTTTGTCAGCCTTGTCCTCTACTCTTGATATTTTTCTTCTACTTGGTCAAATCTGTTGGTGATACTTTTCTGTTTTTTTGTTTTTGTTTTTTGTTTTTTTCTTTAAAGACATAATCTCACCATGTTTCCCTGGCTGGCCTGGAACTCATTGTACACCAGGTTAACTTTCAAACTCAAGGAGATCTGCCTGCTTCTGTCTCCTTAGTACTACTGTGGTTAAGGGCATGCTCTGTTGTGCCTGGCTCTCTCATCATCTTTTGCTTAGTAAGCTTCTGAAATCTTTTTCAGGTATCTTCCCTGTTTTGGTATCTTGAGTTCAGGAATACTGGAGGAGTTGTCTTTTAGCACGAGTCATGCTGCTGTCCTTTTTCGTGTTCATGCTTTTGTGTTGCTATTTGTGCATCTGTGCTTTAGACAAAGTCTCTTCCAGTTTTATTTAGGGATTTTATTGAACAGCCTATTCCTGAGGACATAGAATCTATGTAGTACCACTGAGAGAGGAGAAACTAAGCTGTTGTAATGGTTTACACCAAAATGAAAAATGTAGAAATATACTTAAAATGCATTAAAGACTACTGACAATAGATCACCAGTGACCATAAAACAGAAAATGGAGAGTACCGTCAAGTTTAAAAAGAAAAAACAAAAAACAAAAATTTCCCAATGATGAAAAACTTAAAGAAACAAAGCTAGAGATGACTTGGTGAGTAATGTCTTTGCCATGCAAGTGTGAAGACCTGAATTCAAACCCCCAGAGCTCATTCCAGACTCAGTGGGAGATGGCCCTGGATGCAGGAGTCTCTGTGGGGTAAAAGACTGTCTCCAACAAGGTAGAAGGCAGTGACTGACGCTGATACTGGAGCTTGTCATCTGACCTCCATGCAGACTGCTCACACTCACACATGTGAGCATGCGTGACACAGACACCCAGAGTTAGTTATGGACTACTTGGCTACATTTATGGAACAGTACTTCCATGTATGCCACAGTCAAGTGACCTGTGTTTTATATCAGGATAGAATGGAATGAAAAATTGGAGAAAGATGGTTCCTAGTTTTTGTAATGTAAGATTTTTTACACTTTCCTGCAGGTTCACCTTCCTTCCTGTACAGTATTTTCTAACTTTCCGGTTTTTAAAAAGAGTGCTGTTTCTCGTGTTCAAACCATGGATTTTTCTCCCAGAGGTGGATACTTTGCCTTGGGGAATGAGCAAGGCAAGGCCTTGTTGTATAGGTAGGTATTGTTTATGTTTAAAAGTCGGATACATGATAAACTGCTTTTGAAAATGTGAAGAGAATAATAATATGTATTCCCAATTCTACAGTTATGTAAAGAATTTATTAGTTCTTTTAATTATAGCATGTTCAGTCTAACTCATCCTCATTATCTAACTGCATTTTTTTCTCCCATAAATGTGTCACTAGCAGAAAAATTCATCCAAGGAATAAAAACTTTGTGTGTGTGTTTTGTAGTTTGTATAATGATTATTATTTTTCCCCAGAAAGCTTTAATTTTTTTTTAGAATGTCACATCAAGGAAAAGTTGTAGATGTAACCGTCTTGTTAAATAAGAAACACAGAGCCATTTGCTAAGTTAAAAAGCTAAGACCTAAAAAACCTTACCCTTTACTGCTGCTGCTGTCCTCCTCAGCAAGAGACCTACATCCTGTGTGTTTGTCCTTTTTATTGACTTTCTATTCTGCCTTCTCATTGGTTGTAAACCCAACCACATGACCTCCTCGTCACTGCCCATCTGTACAAACCTCCAGGTCTTCTATGGTTGGTATTGAGATTAAAGGTGTGTGTCTCCATGCTGGCTGTATCCTTGTACACACAGAGATCTGCCTAGCTCTGCCTCATAAGTGCTGGAATTAAAGGCGTGCACCACCACCGCCCAGCTTATGCTATGGCTTGCTATTAGCCCTGCCCCCCAGGCAACTTTATTTATTAACATACAAATAAAATCACATTTCAGTACAAATAGAATATCACCATAAAAAGTAGCCACTTTAATAATACTGCCACTTCCTTGGTAGTTTGACACTGACGTTTGCTGATTTGAAGTCACTATTTACTCCACTGGACTTAAGTGAATTTTAAAAAACAATAGATGTTTCTTTCCTTGGAGCTCTAAGCTAAAAATAAGGGTGTGAGCCACAAAGATAGCAAAAAGTTATGTCAGCTAGCCAAATTTCTTTACCCAACATACTTGTCTTTAAAATAGGCGCAAGCAAAATTTATATGCATCTTTGCTAAAAGATAGAGGTTGGCAGGTGGATGCTGAGGGAGAACTGGAACTTGCAGTGGGAGTCTGCCCTGCTGGGACAGTCCTTCCCCTTGTGGTGGTTGTGTGTGCTGCACAGAGCCTACGCTTTTGTGGGAATGCTCCAGGAAGGAGAAAAGGGATGGGAATTGGCTTTGAAGACAGGTGTGAAATGAGAATATAGCAGACTGTGGGTTAAGCTGCTACCTACTTTGAAAGGAAAATGAGTTATGCCAGGGTAATTTTGTCAGTTTCATTTCAGATTAGTTTGGGATCAAGCACATATTTTACTAACTAAAATGAGTAGCTTTTGAGAACTTCTTTAGTTTTTTTAAGAACTGAACAGTTCTTTAAGCCCCAGAAGCCATTATATTTTTCACATAGTGCTCTAGAATGAAACTGTCCTGGCTGTGCTAGTAATTTGGATTGACAACATTTTTATTTAGTGTGGCTGATGAGGTATTTTGTCAGTCTTCTGGAGCCATCATAGCAGTTTATACATGTAGGGATCGTAATACGGCTGCTTGTTGAGAATGACTGGAATCACCTCCCATCCCTTACCACCATCTTTCTGAGTGCTGCTCCATGATCACGTTTAACTATTCTGTGGTAATTAAAAAGTTACCTTTTGTTTTTCAGGTTGCACCATTACTCAGACTTCTAAAAATGTTTTTTTTGAAGTAAGAAAATTCTTTTAAATACCATGGGTTTGGGGTTGTACCACTGATGTCATTTGGTGGAGGTACCATATTGACTTAGCTCTGCTTCTCTGCCCCAGGCCAGCTTTATATCTTCAGTTTAGGGGGGTTGGGTGCAAGTAGATCAGGAGCTGGCCAAATGACCTGAGCCTTCCTTGGAAATTACTAATCCCCAATCACAGTGGTCTGTCTCCTCTTCTGAGGTCACATTTGTAAGATGAATTGCTAAATGGTCTTATTAATAAAAACTCAGAGCCAGATATTGGAGTGAAGGCTGAGAGATCAGGGAATAGGACGAGTCACAGTCAACCTCACCTCACCAACTCCTCAGTTTCCAAAGAGACCTACTTCCTGTATACCCACGCCTGTATTATATGCCTTTCTGTTCCTGCCATCTCATTTTCTCTCTCTGCCCAGCTACATCACTTCTTGTCTGTCTGTACAGACCTCCAGACCTCTATGGTTAGTGATAGGATTAAAGGCATGTGCTACCAACCACTGCCTGACTTCTATGTTACTATAGTGGCTGGCTTTTTCCTCTGATCCTCAGATAAGCTTTATTGGGGTGTACAATATATTGGGGGACACAATATCTCACCACACACATTTCTAATACTGCATTCAGTAATTGTCATCAAAACTGTGGTTACTGAGCATGTAACCCACAAAACAGAATAAGCTTCACAGACCAATCAACAGAGCTACAGGTTGTATGAACTTAAAATATTTGACTTGGGTGATTATTAAGTGGCTTGCCCTACTGCATAGAGCTCAAGAATGGATAGTAGATTTTTGCTGGACAGTATTTAAAACACAGTATGTTACCTGTATGGCTACATCTTGGACCTGACAACGGGTGGTCCTGACTGAGCTTTGCAGTTAATTTTTTTTACCACAGCTAACTGTCTGGCCTTCTTAGAATTATGAAAGTTTAGGAGACTACAGATAACATTTAATTAGAGAAAAGGTTTTTTTTTTTTTTTTGGTTTTTCGAGACAGGGTTTCTCTGTGTAGCTTTGCGCCTTTCCTGGAACTCACTTGGTAGCCCAGGCTGGCCTCGAACTCACAGAGATCCGCCTGGCTCTGCCTCCCGAGTGCTGGGATTAAAGGCGTGCGCCACCACCGCCCGGCGAGAAAAGGTTTTTTAAAGATAGAATTTTGAGCAGAAAAAGAATGCATTTCAGCTATCTTACCTCTCAAAAATACAATGGCAGTACATGTTGCTTGTGATGAACAGTTAGAAATCAGCTGTATAATTTTTTTTCTATTCTTTTTCAGATCCGATTGAACCCATCTCAATACATCTTCCCAGAAATTTCCGAGTGTGTGTGATAATATATGGATAATGACTTGTGGAATCTGTGCTTAAATTAGCAGCAATGTCTTAATAAATGTTTAACTTTTGTTTAAAAAGTATACATAATTCTTTCCAGTTTCTGCGTGCGTGCACACACACACACACACACACACACAACTTGGATACATTTTCTTTAAAACTAAATGTGAGAAATTGGGAACATCTGTCTGTAATAATAAAAAATATAGGCAGCTATTTTCATTTATATCTCCCCCGCCACCCCCACCCCCCAAACCTCCGTGCACAGATCTGTCTAGGTTTCAGAGCAGGGCTTTATAAGACTACTCATTCACCTATTCTTTTGTTTGTTTTATTTGAGACAGGTTCTCTGTGTAGTGTTGGCTGTCCTGTAACTTGCTATGTAGACTAGGCTGGCCTTGAACTCAGAGATCCTCCTGCCTCTGCCACCTGAATGCTGAGATTAAAGGCATATGCCACCACACCTGGCTCCAGCACCAATTGTTTACTCAAGAAACCTGTGTAACCCTATGTATATAGGTGTATAAAATCAGTATACAGGCATTTGCTGATGATAATCGTCAATTTATTTTAAAACAATCACTTGGTATACATACTGTTTTAACCACTTATTGAGGGTAAAAGCAAGTTTGTATACTAAAGAGATGAATTTGTGTGTTATTTTTACATAATTATCTCTTGAGCCAGGCATATACCTTTAATCCCAGCACTCTGGGGTGGGTGCTGAGTGCGTGGGGGGAGTCAGAGGCACACTGATCTCTCTGAGTTAGAGGCCAAAAAGAGTTCCAGTACAGTCAAGGCTGTTAAATAGAGAAACCCAGTCTCAATTCCCCTACTCCCCCAAAAAGAATTATTCTTGGCTAAATATTTGATACTGCGAGATATAGTGCATTTCACTGTTGATAATCACTTCAGGGTTGATAATTTAATTTTGTAATCATTGCTGAGGATATTGTTTTATATAAATATAGAAAATGGTAGAAGTATATTTAGGACTGTTTCAGGAGTTACTAGAAATTCTGTCCTAATCATAAACCAAACTGCATCTATTATTAAACCAATTTTTTTCAGTTGTTTTTAAGATATTTGCACATATTTTGATCAAGTTGACCTCCTTTCAACTCACTCGGATTGGTCCCTCTTCCTTACCCACCTAACTTCGTGTCCTCTTTTTCTTCTTTTCAAAAACAAAACCCATCAAGTCCAGTTTGTGTTGCTCATGTAGTCTTGGATGTGTCTCCTTTCACTGTAATGTGTTCCACTTACCAGAGGCTACACTTTTAATAAGATGGACGCTTCCTCTCCCAGTAGCTTTCACTTGCAAATAGCACTTCTACGAGTGGGATTTGGTGCCCACTCTATGTTGGCATTTGGTCTGGCTTGAGCTTCCACGGGGGACGTGCATGCTGTCATAACTACTGAGTTCATAACATGCAGCTGTTCTGCTGTGTTCAGAAGACATGGTCTCTTCATAGTTTTCACTGCTTCTACATTTTCTGTCCCCAGTTCCATAATAGTCCTCAAGCTTTGGAAGGAACATGCTGGAACATGATCAAAGGAATGATGCATGGTGAACAATACCTTGGGGAGACAAAGAGGATCCAGGAAAAAAGGCAGAGGGTCTTTTTACCTCAAATGCGTGTTGTTCCCTGGATTGTTCTTGGACGTGATTTTGATGCCTTCTGTGACAAATACTCAGTTTGTATTAAGACCTGTTTATTCTTGTTAGATGTCAGAACATAGCTATAGAACCCAATCTGATCAGTGCACCATGAATCTGGATATGGCCTGCCTTTTGTGTTATCCCGGATATAATATATAGCACATTCCAGATAATTGTGTTTAAATTGGTCTGTCCTGAGAAAGTCCTGGGAAAGGGCTGTTCTATTAATATTTAGTATATGCTTACTGGTATTTATTTACATGTTTTTCTGAACTCATCTTTCCCAAGATGACTGCATTCTTTGTTAGTCATACATGTATAAAAGTACACTGAAACTGAAGTTATCTACAGCATTAGACTAGTCTACCTTATTCTTTGAGGTACTCAAATCCCAGGTCTCACAGACAAATCTGCTTAGGTTGACGAAACTCAACAGGAAGGGGTATAGTATATGTATTCTGTTGAGGGAGTATTCTGCATTCTCTTGTTCTCTGTACCTTGACTACTTGACTAGTTGTGTTCTCTGTAATTTACCATCTATTTCAAATAGAAGCTTATTGGATGTGGGTTGAGGCATTAATCTGTGGGTGTGATGGTGAGTCATTAGGAGTCAGTTTAATACGAAGTTCATTTAGCATGCAATGCATTTAGAATGTAATACACATTGGAGAAAAGAGCCTCTTGATGAAGGTCAAATTGGATAGCTACACATAGAAGAACAAATGATCTTGTCTCTCACCCTGCACAAAATGTAACTCCAAATGTATCAAGAGTTCAGCACAAGACCCAGTGGCCTAGAGAATACATTGGAATTCATTGGCACAAGAAAGGACTGTCTGAACAGGACCTCCAACAGCATAGGCGTTAAGACCAACAAGGGCACGAAACTCAGCTCCAGATAGGTCAAGGACTTAAGAGCTGGTACTCCAGGGGATACATTTGGACTTATTGGCCAAGGAAAGGACTTGCTGAACAGGACCCCAATAATGTAGACATTAAGACCAATAATCAGCAATAAATGGACTTCTTGAAACTAAAGCTTCAGTACAGCAAGGGGCAGTCTACTGAATGGGGAAAAATGTACCAGCTATACATCTGACGGGGTTAGTATCTAGACTACAAAGAACTCAAGCTAGATGTCAAGAAAACCCAATTAAAAAATAGGACATGGAACTAAGTTTTCAAGAGATGACATTCAAATGGCTGAAAACATTTTTGAAATGTTCAACATCCTTAGCCGTAAGGAAAATGCGAATTGTCTAATGGTTTCTCTTTGAAATACGCCAGCAATTCAGTTTTTAAAACACTCATTGTAAGAAATACAGCGCAAAGATAAAATAATTTGATTCATACTGAAAAATAATAGGAAAATATTGGGTCTTTGTTTTTCTTAACTAAGCCGTTGCATTTCTATAAAAGCAGAAGGTTTGTCTATACAGTAAAAACACCAGTTGACGGTGAGCCAGTGTTTCAGGCACCATTGCATGGGATGGCATGGTGGCACTCTCCGCACAGTGCATGTGTGGAGACTGAGGCTGCAGCAGAGTTGTGTCATGCAGTGGATACAGCACTGCCAGAAACACCTGACTTGTTACACATTGAATTACTTTTTTAGTCACTCTACATTTAGAAACATTTACTCTTGCCAGTTATTTTGCAGCTGATGGAGTCAGCAGTTAAATGACTCCATGTGGGATTGGCATCCAGTTGAGATGTGTTTTAGGGTTTCTACTGACAATGACTTACGGAGCTCAGGTGGAGTCAGCTTTAAATGTTCTTTTCTAGAAACTTGCTAGAATCTTGTCTGGTTTCCATCATCTTTCTCAAACTATGTGTTCTGTGAAGATGAGCTGTTAATTTGGTTGTGGTGAGCCTTCTCCCCAACTCCCTTTTAGCAAAGAACTTCATAGAAGCTAAAACTTCGAATTGAGAATGGCTTGTGTCATATTTTTCTTTAGCCATCAGGGGGCAGCAGTGGACTATGTCAGTCTTGAAAGGCAAGGCATTTTGTAGCCTTTCGCTGTCACTTTGTTCAGTTATAGTACGGCTTGTTTTAGAAATGCACACCAAGCTGTGTATATGCTTATTTTGTGTGTAGTTTTCAGGTACCAGGAGTTTCAAGACATATAGGAATTTATTTGTATAGAGAAAACGATGGAAACAGAGTTTAAATTTTAACTGTACTTCGTTAAGACCTCTAGATTGATTTTGTACTCTACTAAGAGAGTTAAAAAAAAATCTCTGTTTTAACCTCCAAGACAGAGGTACTGTTTGTTCTACAGGCATACTATCGAGCCTGTTTCTTGCCTTTACCATTTTCTTTCCTTCAGTGGACTTTAGGGCATTTGAGTCAAGCTCACATTGTTTTTATGTACCACCAGAACCAAGCTAATTGTTCAAGGACATTGAAGATACATGTAAGACTTCCTTCACACTAGTCTGTATTTGCAGTTGCTATTGCTAGCATGACTGCCACTCAGTCCCTGCTTTGGGGGCAGCCATCATTAGCTGCAAAGTAATGATTTGCTGTGTAGAATGACTGGTCTTTTAAAGAAATGTCCTGTGCTTAAATTATAGGTGAAAGTTGTGCATCTTTCTGGAAATAAAGTGTATGGATGTTGAATGTGCTTTGGATGAGGACATTTAACCCCCTCCAAGCTGCATAGAATGAATGAATGAGCTGTAGGTGCTGTGACATGCATTTCTGTCCCCTTGTGGCTTCAGCTTAGGATAGAGGCAAGTCTAAATGCTTGCACATGCTTCCCAAGAACTCTGAGGCTACTTGCCATCAACTCAAATGCATCTCCATGTCTTCATCACACGAACAAAGCGTTGTTACTCTGAACTGGAGGAAATGGATGCTGAGCAGGTGTAGGGAAAAGGTAGAATGTGGGGTGGGAGGAAATGGATGCTGAGCAGGTGTAGGGAAAAGGTAGAATGTGGGGTGGGAGGAAATGGATGCTGAGCAGGTGTAGGGAAAAGGTAGAATGTGGGGTGAAAGCCGGAGCTGTGCCGACTGACATCCATATGTATTGGATTTCCCGTAATTCTCAGTACTGTAAGAAAAGCAAGACTCTGATTTCATAGGACAGTAGACAGAGGTTTCCAGCAGTTGCACATCCAGAGCTACAACCATTGTCTCTCCAGACCAGTGAGTGGTCTTTAGAGCAAGGAGTGCATCCCTGAGTGTGAGTTGTGGAAGTCCTAGAGCTTATGTGCTCTGCTGAAGTATTTGCTTTATAATGTATTCATACTGTAAATTGTGTAGATAATTTATAAACATACATTTGCACTGGGGTTGCATTTAATATGCTTTACTTAAGAAACAGCTGCTGACAATGTATAGTCACACCAAACACATTTCTGTGCCCTTCCTCTCTCAAATTCTCTGTATTCTTATAATATTAACAGCTGTATTGCCCCAGTCACTTGAGCTAGGTAGTAAGGCTGATTCCCCTCTTCCAACCCCCAAGACAGGATTTCTCTGTGTAATAGCCTTGACTGTCCTGGAACTTGCTCTGTAGACCAGGCTGGCCTCTAACTCATAGAGATCCACCTGCCTCTGCCTCCCGAGTGCTGGGATTAAAGCATGTGTCACCGCCACCCAGCAGTAAGATTGACTTTGAACTTGAGATTTTTCTCTCCCTGTCACACCTAGTTATGAAGCCTTTTTCCTTAAAATATCGTCTCCAATCTATTGCCACTTTCTCAGTTCTCATCTGCTCTCAAGTTGAACAGTTCCTTATTGCATCTTTTCCTATTTCACATTCTTCCATCAGCTCTCCATATTACATCCAGAGATTAAGAAAATGTTTATGGTAGAAAACTTGAAACATACAAAAAGATAAGGGACGTGTATGCATCATTCAGCTTCAGTAATTAACAGCTCATATCAATTGAACTGGTTATTTTGAAGCAAAGGCAAATTTATTCCATCAGTAAATACTCAGTATGTGTAGAGATGTATTTTAAAATATAAATGTAAAAATATAAATCTCAAACTGGCTATGGTGGTTCATGCCTGTAATCTCACACCCAGGAGGCTGAGGTAGGAGGATTGATGGCTTGGAGCCAACTTGGGCTACATAGCTACATAGGGAGACTTTTAGGAACATATTATATATATGTTCCTATATATATACAGTACTCTTGCTCAAAATCTGTCAACAGCTCATCTCTTCCACAGCCTTTAGTTTCCCTCTAGAAAGAGCATAAAGAAACACAGTTCACAAGCCCTGCAGCAACTCTGTGCTGTGTAAGCATTAGACCAATGCCTGGACCATTCTTAGTGAATGTTAGCCATCATCACTATAATGATATAGCCAGGTGCAAGATGAAGGCCAGCTCCTTAGCTTGGTAGAAGGCCACGTAACTTAGGTTTTTTCCTATCCAGCTTTCTCTCTCTCTACAAGTCTTGAAGTACTTTGTAATCTCCCAGAAGAAGCCTACCTGAGTTTTTCCGTGTGCCTTTGTTGTTCAAGTATTCTGACACTTTCTTTACCTGTCTTTCAAATACCCATCCAAAAAGACTTAGTAGGAACTCCTCACACACATCATTTTGTTAAAATGATAAGCTAGATGGGTATCTACTGTATAGTATCCCTACCTTTTATTGTATTTACTGATTACCACTAGATATTATTGTTCATAATTGAAAAAAATGAAAAGTGGTATGTAGTGTTGTAGTTTGTCTGAGCTGTGATTTTGATTCTACTGAGAAAAGGACAAAAGATATGACTCATGTTGTCTATAAGAAGTTTATATCCAGGATTGAATAGATGACTCAGTGATGAAGAGCACCTACTGCTCTCACAAAGGACCAAAATTCAGTTCCAACCACCTGTGGCTGGCCTCTCATAACCCAGCACCATGGCCTCCAAGGGCATCTCAACCCCCCACCACATAATTAAAATAAAAATAAAGAAGTTTATACTGGTTCCTTAGGGAAAGCAGGAACCTATCTCCCCATGTTGATATTGTAGTTTTACATATTTACCTCTGTTTTTCCCCCCCCCCCAGAGCTGAGGACCGAACCCAGGGCCTTGCCCTTGCTAGGCAAGCACAATCTCAACCCCCTGAATATAGTTCTCTTTTGCTAGAATTTTATTCAACTTTGCTTCTCAAACACTTAGCACTAGACTTGGTCCATATGTTAAATATGTAATTTTATGAGCTCAAAAATTGATTTTTTAAAACATAGAGATAATAGAGTAAGGACTAAGGCCACATTTTCTAAATCTAGAATCAAGACTCTTGGCTGACATGGGAGTTTCGTTCTACTTCCAGATGTGAGAGCTATCTTCTTGGAGATGTGATTTGAGTGTTGCAGCAGTGCAGTCTCTGAGGTGTGATTTATACAGACAGCAGGCAGGAGTGCTTGGGATTGGGGCTAGGATGTGGTTAAGGTGTAGAGAAGAGCTTAAGGAGGAATGTTGAGGCCTAAGAAGAGACGGACTGTAGGTAGCCAGAAGCAAAACTCAAGTCAGTTTTAAAAATAGAAGATAAGTTGAAAATAAACTATAAAACTCTGAGTCAGCCAGCAGCTGGTAAATGCCTTTTCTTATTGACATTCAGGCAGCAATAAAATTCCCTCATTGTTGGACCTGTCTCTTTTTTAGAAAGCTTATATGGGTTTGGCATAGTAAAACCAAATTCCCAGAAATTCCATTGAGGTTGTTTGCTGTTATTTTTAAACATGCTTGTGCTCTCGTTTGGATTTTCAGACCATCCATCCACCCACCTGTCCACCCAGTGAACATCTACTGAGCATCTTTTCTGCCAGGACTGTGTTTTCCATGCATGATCCCAAGCACTTGTGGGAGGAAGGATCCTGTTAGACGAGGTATGAGTTGGATGAGTATGGGGAATGGTGATGGGCAGAACCCTTTGAGAACATGGAGCAAGGGAGCTTACTGGGCTTGAGGGCTTCTGAAAGACTCCTCAAGCGAGATGGTTGAGCTTGGTCCTCAAAAATGCCATATATTTCCAAAAGCACTTTTTCAGATGTTTAATTATAAGAACTCTCACTATAACTATAAAAAAACAGCAACCCTAAAACAAATAAAAACCACCACTACCAACAAAACTCAACCAAGTATGACACTGCGTCTCAACAGTAGCCTATGATGACTTAATCTCATAAGCAGGGAGAAAGAAACTTTGGTTTTTGCCTGCTTGCCTTAACTCTTGCTGACAAGTTCATATATCCTGCTTTTGTGATATTATTTCTTTGATATTAGAAGCAGCTTCTTCAGGTTTCTCACATAGGCTGTAGACCAGCAGCTTTCAGGAATCCTTCAGACCTTCAGCACCAGAATGGGAGTGAGTGTTAAGACACCCAGCCTTGTAGACTGAGCACCTACCAGATTCTTGGCCCCTCTAAAATGAGACATCCATTGTTAGACTACCAGGCACACATTCTCTATATAAATACACAGATACACACACACACACACACACACACACACACACACACACACACACACACACAGTCACACAGACACACACAGTCTGTCAGTTCTGGTCCTGTAGAGAACCCTGACTAATACAGACCTTTATCTATGGGTCTGCATTTCTCAGTCCTTGGAGGTGTTCTTGAAGCATCCCATTTATTTTGCCTATGGGAGAACGGTCCTCCAGGTACCAGTTGGTACCTACCGCGTGTGTAATTTTTAGCGCATAGATAGGGTTATTCTAGAGATGACCTCCAGAAGGCATACCAGAGCGAAGGACACAGAATCTGGAGATAATGTACTTGGGAAAGTCATTTAATCCCTGCAAGCCTCGTTTCTCCCCCTGGAGAGTGGGAGAACAATAGAGGCTACTTTAGCAGGGTGGTGGAGGGTTCAGAGGTACCATCTAAAGCATACAGCCCACTGACTGGCACACAGCAAGAGTTTGGTGTCTGTCAGTTATTATTAGTTGCTCTTCCAATCCTTATTGCAGCCTTGGGAGTGGGAGGGAGTAGATGCTATTAACCCTTTTATTCCCCTGGGAGGTACGGATTCCAGAAATGTTAAATGACTTGATCTGAGGTCACAAAGCTAGCAAATGGCAGTCAGGACCCCAGGTGGCCTCTGAGTCCAGTGATCCTTTCCCCCTCTCTCTGCGGGCTCTGAAATGAAGGATGTTTCCCTCGGGAACTGCCTGCCTGCCTTTCATGTTCGTGAATTCTTTCTCCTTCCAGCTGCAGCTGTATTAGTCTGTATTAGTCAGGGTTCTCTAATTCTCTTTTGTCGGAATTCCGCGTGGTCTTAGTCTACAGACGCCCTCTGCCTGTTGCTGTGAGGCCAGGACGTGAACAGGCCTGCCAGCCAGGCTCAGGAGGGCCACTCAGGCATCACAAGCCTGGTGGATTGTGTTCATGCTGTGCCCAGTCTTCAACTGGAAGTTAACTTAGTTGTCTATTGAGCGGAATTAACCTTGAATCCCATCAACTTGCATGAAAACCAGTCATATGTTTATGCATTTGAAAACTGAAGGATGATTTAATTTTACAAAAGGTTTTATAATGTATATAATACTATTGAAAAGATATTAATAAGGTTTTGCACCATTGAACCCAATACAAAAGATAACTTCTCATGCATGGCCCCTGTGTTTCTTGCTTTCATATGTTACCAAGAATAGTCCATTTTGTTCAACAAAACCACTGAGTTTCATTCTCTTTGCTGTCCAATGCATGGCAGATAGTTGCTAGTTTCTTACTCTCTTTTCTCTGGAATATTAATTTCTGAAGTGAAGGACTCTTTTGTCTGATTGGCTGGGTGACTGTGAGTATACTTCTGAGTCTCACTCACTACATCTGATATGATGATAATAATCTCATATTTATAAGGAGCTCACTGAGATGTAAAGGGCCTTGCATAATATGGTTCCCTGATCGTTGGTAAATGCTTTGCCAGCCTGACTTTATCTATTTATTTTGAGATGCTGGGGATTGAACGTTGGGCCTTGCGTATGCTAGGCAAGAGTTGATAGGTAGCCCTTGAAAGAACAGTTTTAAATACCATGTTTCTAGAGTCCTTCATCCTTATCCATCCATAGTCACATTTCCTATTTTATCTGTTCTTTAACCTGTGTGACATATGGACTGGGTATAATTTGAAATGTAGATAGATATGGCTAAATTGGCTGACAAACACTTACAGTTCATCAACTCTGTATGAAGTGTCGCAATGTGTCATAGCATTACTTAAGCACACTTTACCATTTTATATTGAAAAGAATGAAATAGATACAAAACCCAACACTTGGCATTTGTATAGGTTACTGGGTTGTCCTGAGATGAGAACCCAAACTGAGGAACTGGCTTTGTTACTCACCCTCAAAACTGGCCACAAACCCTATCCCAGTCCAGTGCCTTTTAAAAAAGAATTTCATCAGATGTATTTATTGTACATGGTGCCATGTCACATAAGGACATTTTCATACAAGTATATATTGTGCATTGAGCATATACAATCCCTTTTCTTTCCCTGTAAAGGATCACTCTCCTGACTTGTTAGCTTTTCAGAGTTTCTGGAAGCCAGGTGTGGTGGCTCATGCTTATAATCCTAGCACTTGGGAGGTTGAGGCAGGAGAATTGTTGTAAGCTCAGGGATAACCTGGACTATAGTGTAAGATTTTCTAAAAATAACAAAATAAAATAACGAGACAAAAACTACTCACTCATCCACCCAACTAATCAACCAAACAAAAACCAGTTTTTAAAAAATCCAAATGAATATCCTAAGATACTATAGTGTAATCTCCCCATTTGAAAAAGAAGTGGCATTTTTTTCTTTGTTTTTGAGACTGGGTTTCATGTGGCACAGGATAGCCTCAAATTCACTATTTATTGTTGATGACCTTGAACTTCTGCTTCTCTTGTCTCTACTTCCCAAGTGCTGGGATTACAGGAATATGCCACCATTCATTTCAGTGGTCCTCAACCTTCCTAATGCTACAACCTTTTAATACAGTTCCTCATGTTGTGATGACCCCAACCAAAAAACTATTTCATTGCTACTTCATAACTGTAATTCTCCTATAACTGTTATGAATTGTAATGTAAATATCTGATAAGGAACCTTGAAGAATTGGGACCACTGATTTGTCTCTTGGTCCTTGTGGATCAATAGTCTTAGATATAGGTCTTTCCTTTTAATATGAAATTTTCAAATCTTTTTTAATTTCAGGGAAGTTTTCTTTGACAATGTCACACATGGATAGAATGTGTCGTGACTGTGCTCACCTCTTATGCTCTCTTATGCCCTCCTACCTGGCCGACTCCCTTCCTTCCGTGTAAGTCCCCATTTTACCCCCATGTTTTTCATTTTACACGTGTCTTACAGCAGGGAAATTCTCTTGAATTACTACTGTTATGTTCCCTTGTTTTGGTTTCTCTTTGTGGTGCTAAAACTTGGACTGAGGTCCTTGTCTGGGGTAGGCAAACACTCCCACTAAGCCACATCCCCAGCCCTGGCTTTCCTGAGGGAGTCCATTAATGTGTACACTGCCTTTTTGGCTTCGCTGTTTGTTAGTGTCTGTTGATCTCTTGATGCATTTCTTTTTGTTTGTCTCTCACCCTTATTTTTACCTTTTATTTCTCCTAAGAAAGGTGTTCAAACCTTTTCCTAGCTTAGTTTCTATTTCTGAAATATTTTCTTCTTTTCAGTTTTTTCCCCCAGGTTCTCGCTTCTGAGTTTTCCTAGAAGACAACCCTCAGCCCTTTCCACAGACCCTCGTATGAGACTAGTGCTGGCAAAGGCCAACACCTTTAACAATACTTTAAAGACAAAAGTCATCTTTTGGTTATGGCCTCTAAGAGATGAGACTAAACCCAGTTAAATGTTCTCAAAGCATGCCTCTCTGTATGTCCATGCTTGGGTCCCCAGTGTCCCAGACAGAATAGCGGTACCTCCCTCCCAAGCTCAGACAGCATTAGAGCTGCATCCCTCTAGGACAACATCACTTGTGCTGTTGGGAAAATGTGCCTTTTCCTTTAGTTGCTGATTAAATTCTAGTTCCTCTTTGGTACCTGGAACGTCCTTGAGGGCTGGAGAAGTATCTAGTTCCTAGATTTCCTTTTGAAATTTCACCAACGACAAGGACCTCCCACATAGTCACTTCAGTGTTCACACTTTGCATATCTCCACTCTACGTCCATAGGTCTATCCACACTTGTGTGTGGTGCATGCCTGCCTGCCATCATAGACATCTACTTGCCTCTCTTGGAGCCAGGTAGTTCATTTAAAGGCCTCATTGTACCCCAAGGTCTTTCCATAATCTTTGGGTCATGTACAGTTGATGATCATATAAATAAACTTTTATTGAGCATTTACTAATGAATATGTTCCGTACTGTGCTGTGTTTCAGGTGACATTTCATTTATCTCCCACAGCACAGTCAGTTAAGTATTACTGCAGATGAGGCTGCTGAGAAGTTGAGCAGTTTTTGTCAAGGTCACAGTAGGAGTAAGTAGAAATGCTAGGGTCCATATTAGGGGTGTTAAGAATGTCTAAAATGAGCCAGGTGGTGGTGGTGCACGCCTTTAATCCCAACACTCAAGAGACAGAGGTAGGTGGATCTCTGTGAGTTCAAGGCCAGACTGGTCTACAGAGTGAGTTCCAGGACAGCCAGAGCTACACAGACAAACCCTGTCTTGAAAAAACAAAAACAAAAACAGCAACAAAAAGAATGTCCAAAATGTATGTCTCTTGTGGGTTCCTGAAGCAGGCTCTGGGATGGAGATTAGTGCGCAGCTCTATGAGTGTGCTGGGGATCCACACCTGGGGAAGGAACTAGCTAATGGAGCTTAACGAAAATCTCAGCCAGCCCTGGGGAAGCTGGAGCTGGGAAGGCCCTTCAGAATTGTCCTTTGTTGGAGTGTGAGAGCCAGAGGAAGGAGAAAAACCTAAGATAAAGAGAGACCGGCACTTCAGGAAGCTTGTTATCTCATTGATTTGCTCACCTATGCCTTCATTCCTTCTGCATTTTACATGCCAGATTTGAGATGACTTCTGAATACAAAGTGAGGCCTGCATCCAGCAGAGAGATGATGAACACTTGAGCTAGTCGAATGCAGACTGGTGGGTGCTGAGACAGTGTCAGTGGCATGGCTTTTCCCTTAAAGAACTGCAGATTTACTTCAGAGAGACAGGACATCAACAGACCAAAGAAAGGATTATGATAAAATCTAACTTGGTAAATGTGAAAAAGAAGACAGACTCTATGTCTGTGTCTACTACCTAATATGCACAAGGCCCTAGGTTTAACATCCAGAACCCCAACAAGTGAGCAAGCAAGCAGGCAAGCAGGCAAGCAAGCAAACCTTGTAGACTGGTTGACTATTCAACAGACATTTGTTTTGCCTGGTTCTGAAGACTGTCTGAGGTCAGGGTGCAAATTCAGCATCCTCTGGGTAGCAGACAGCTGACTTTTTGTATTCTCTCATAGTAGAAAGAACTGGCAAGTTCTCTCTCTGTCTCTGTCTCTGTCTCTCTCCCTTTCACACAGACAGACAGACAGACAGAGACAGAGACAGAGACTTACTCTGTAGCTCAGGCTGGCCTTGTGTTTGAGGCAATCTTTTTGTTTCAGCCCCCCGAGCACTGGAATTAAATATCTCCCTTTAAAAAACCCCAAGTGAGGTAACCCAGACCCAGAAAGACAAATAGGGTATGTATTCACTTGTAAGTGGATATTAGTCATTAAGTAAGTGATAACCAAGCTACAATCTGTAGACCCAGAGAGATTAGGTAAAGAGGAGGAGGTAGTCTAGTGAGAATGTATGGATCTCCCTAGAAAGGGGAAATAGAAGAAGTTTTACAGTGGACTTGGGGTGGGTGAGGACAGGAGTGGGAAGGATCAGGTGTGTGGGGGCTGGGTTGGAGTGAGTTCTGGAAGAGACAGCTGGAATTGGAGGCTTTTGGCGAGTGATGTGGAGACAGTGCCATGGAAACTTCCTGAAATCTATGAAGGTGATCCTAATGAGAACTCCTGGTAAGGGGGCATATAGAGTCTTAACTGGCCATCTCTTATAGACAGGCAAGGCTTCCAATAGAGGGACTGGGTTGCACGCAATTGAGTTGTTGGCTGTGGAGATCCCCAAACAACCCAGGCTGATGCTAGGACAGAGGGCTGCTTTCTGCAAACTGACAGGTTTGTGCATAGGGCAGGGGATTGCTGAGGACAACATCCACACAACTCATTGAACACGGAGAAGTCAAATTGGTGCCTACATGGAGCCTTCACCACTATGTTCTAGTCTGTGGTGCAGGAAGGTTCTGTGCAGGCTACTGATTGAGAAATATGGACACAAACCCAGCCACAAAACCTTTGACCTACAATCTGTCCTGCCTGAAAAATAATGCTAGGACAATGGTGGCACAGAACTTATGGGAGTAACTAACCAATGTCTGATTTGACTTAAGGCACACTCCATGAGAAGGAGCCCACACCCAGCGCTGCTTGAGTAACCAAGAACCAGAGACTAGATAGCCTAGAGACCTAATGATCTAAAAAAAAAAATCAGTGAAATGATTCCTAATGATGTTCTGCTGTACTCATAGATTAATGCCTTAGCTCGTCATCATCAGAGAGGCTTCCTCTGGTAGCAGATGGGAATAGATGCAGAGACTCACAGCCAGACGTTAGGCAGAGAGAGTCTACATTGGAGGTCTCCATCAAATCCCTCCTCTCAGGGAATCCCATGGAAAAGGAGTTGGAAAGAGTGTAAGAGTCAGAGGGGATGGAGGACACCAGGAGAACAAGGCCCTCTGAATGAACTAAGCAAGGCGCATATGAGCTCCCAGAGACTGAAGTAGCAAGCACAGGGCCTGCATGGGTCTGCACCTGGTCCTCTGCATAAGTAATATAGCTATTAGCTTAGTATTTTTAAGGGACTTCTGACTTTGAGAATGAGTGGGTCTCTGATTCTTGTGCATGCTCTTGGAACTCTTTTCCTCCTGTTGGGTTGCCGTGTCCAACTTCAATATGAACATTTTTGTTTCTTCTTATTCTATTTTATTTTGTCGTGTTTGGTTGTTTTCTTTTGGAAACCTCTTTTCTAATGAGAGGCAGAAAGGGAGTGGATCCTGAGGGGAGGAGAGGTACAGAGGAAGTAGGAGGAGTAGAGGGTGGGGAAACTATAACCAGGATATATTATATGAGAAAAGAATCCATTTTCAATAAAAAGAAAAAAATAGTTGTGCTAGAGAGAAACACAGTCTCCTGTGTTAGACAAGCACCCTACCACTGAGCTACAGTCCCTGCATCCCTTTAAAGTGTCCTTTAAGGACACTAATCTCATTTGTGACAGCTCCACCCATAGCACTTGCAGAGACTCCCTCTCTTAATGTACCACCCTGGGGGTTAGGACTTCAGCATGTGAATTTGGAGGTGGGGCACAGTTGGTCCACGATGACTCAGTGAGATGAGAACAGAAATAAAGACTTATATATGTGTGTGCTAGGACCTGACTTGTGGAATGTCCCTTACTCCCTGTTTACTCTGGACTCTAAGTCTCACCAGTTCTCACCAAGAGAAGGGAGTCCAGCACTGGACTGAAGAAAAAAGAGGGGCAAAGTCTTATTCCCTAGAACTCTGGAATGTGAATGTGTTTGAACATCAGATCTTTAAAAAGATAATTAAATGAGATAGTGTGTGGGCGGGTGCTAATGACTGTCACTATATAAGAAAAGATTTGGACACGGACACACAGGCAGAGAGATGATCTTGTGAGACACAGCCATGAGAGGAGACCTGGGAAGAAATCAATCCTGCTGTCACCTTGACTGAATCCCATCATCAAGAACTGTGAGGAAGCCGGGCGGTGGTGGCGCACGCCTTTAATCCCAGCACTCAGGAGGCAGAGCCAGGCGGATCTCTGTGAGTTCGAGGCCAGCCTGGGCTACCAAGTGAGTTCCAGGAAAGGCGCAAAGCTACACAGGGAAATCCTGTCTCGAAAAACCAAAAAAAAAAAAAAAAAAAAAAAAAAAAAGAACTGTGAGGAAAGAAAATTCTCGTGTTTAAGCCTCTTAGTCTAGTGTTTTCTAGAGACAGCCCTAGCAAACCACAATGAATGGCCATTGTTTTCCTCCTGAAGTAGGTTCTAAACATATATGTGTGAGTGCTAGAAATGTTTACTGAGAACCACAAATGGTCAGAATTGGGCTGTGTTTGTAGCTCAGTGGTGGGGGCTTGCCTAGCATGTGCAGGGCTCTGGGTTCAGCCCTCAGCACTGCAAAAACCAAAACTGGCTTGTGAGAAGAAACAGAGCAGCTGCATGGGTGCTGTCTCAGCACATCTCACTGGATCCCTAACACAGCTTCCCCTAGCTTTAGGGACTTGGAGAATGAGGCCCGGAGAGGGGAGGTTTCAAGGCAGAAAGCAGAGGTTTGGGCACTGGTTCCTGAATACCAATCTCCATTGTCTCTGCACAGTGTGTCAGCTTCTTCTGATGGCACCTGCCAGCTTTGGCATTATCAGCTAATGGGAATAGACTTCTTTGGACGTTTTAAAGCTCTGGCATCCAGTATTTTCTATGAGAAGTCCAGGTCCCGTTCTTCAGGATGCAGTAAGTTACAGCATGCGTCATCTTTAAAGTTTAAAAAAAAAAAAAACCCTTCTTTTCAGTAGTGTCTGGATATTTTCAAAGTTGGAGAGAACTCAGCTGGGTAGTTCTGAAGACTCCCTCAGAGCCCATTTCTCAGTTCCCAGGAAGCTCAGGTCTCCTCATTTCTTCCTGGGTCCCATTGCTCACTTTTCTTCTCATGATGGGGAGGTGTGCTGCCTGCCCACAGTCAGCCTGCGGGGCAGCTGAGCTTGGGGAAGGTGCTGTGAGCTGTGAAGTTTGTGATTAATAAACCTTGGGGCACTCGTGGGAGGAGGTTAATAGGTGGTCGTTCTGCTAAGAGAGAAGAGATGAATATAATTGCCACTCTAAATCCCCTCCAGAGATCTTTGTCTCTTGTGGGACACCTTCACAAAGAGGTGGCATCCAGCTTGGAGAATCAATTGTGGCTTCATTAGTCTCTCCTTGATATTAATAATTTCTGACTCCCAAGGCCTCAAGAAGCTAGCTTAGGCCAGCTGCACTGGGAGGAGAAGGGTCAGACTGGAGGGTTCACACCACAAGGGGAAGGGTCAGGCTGGAGGGTTCACACCACAAGGGGAAGGGTCAGGCTGGAGGGTTCACACCACAAGGGAATGGGAAGAGGAGCCATTTTCCTTCCTTCTCATGCTTCACTATCAGTTCCAATATGGGAAGAGCAAATGAAAAGAAAGAGAAATAAGCAAAGCCCGGATGTGGTAAGGCAATTGTAAAGGAAGTGAGAGAAAGATGGTAT